TCCATGTTAGATCCCCCGTATTGCCTTTAACAGACTGTTGGGGCAAGTGCTGTTAGCGAACGCCTATCAAGGTCGGCACGGCATACGAGGGAGTGCGGGACCAACACGCCCAGCAGCCCTTTGCTCCCCGATGCACAGACACCACACACACTGCACTGTTGAGAACCAGGCCACCGTGGTGGGGAAAACAGTTTCGTGTGCAATGCTATAAATGGAACCACGCGTCACTGACCAAATTCACGGTGGCATTGAGGATAAAACATATCTCCAGCAGCCACCACGGGGATAGGGCTGGAACAATGCATTATTCAATATTGATCCGTTTAGCTCACAATGCATGCATATAATTGCGTCGGTAGGTATCTATGTTTGCAGGTTCGTAAGATTGGTGCGTGTTGTCGATAATGGGTTCGCGTGATCCCTGCAGCTGCCAGAGGCCGCTACGTTCATCACAATGCCTAAAAAACATGACCGATTCTTTCATTCTAATTAGTGACAATTCATTGAATGGCCACGGGATGAATCGGGACACCAAAAGGGTTCATTTCAACCGGGCCTCTCTGGGTCAACGACCCGAGAAAAATATTTCCTAATTCGGCACACCAATTCCAGTATACGTCTCGCTCAGGCCGTGGCTACTAGTCCTGTGCCCATACCCTAGTGACACGGAAAATACATTCATCCCTCGTTATACAGAAACTCAATATACGGAATTTTGCTAAAACGTAACCTATGAATTGGGGAACGAATTTTCGATTAAGTTACCATGCCTCTCAACCCATACGGTTTACCCGTATTCTTGTGCAAGAAAATTGAGTTTTCAGGTCCATACAGATATGAGTTACATTAATTCGCTTTTATGGAATTTTGCATTTCAAAATTATACATGGGGGGGGGGGGTGGGGGAGAGATAAAAATCGAACAATACGCGTCCTGTCGTTTGTCCTCGGCGCTCCCTGTACTGTCCAAACCCGACTGGTTTTCCTTTGGCCCTTTGTGGTGATCACGCCTGGTACTGTGATGGACAGGATTTCACCCCTTTTCAACGTTGTTTCTTTATTAGATGTCTGGAAAGAGACCATTAAGTTTAAGTGATACCAGGAGTGAAAAGAAAGACCGCAAAGCAATTACGTCCTCACACGGCGATCACCACAGCTTATTGTAAGTACTGTGTATATTTATTTCGGGACTGAATAAGTATTTATTAATATATTATAAAAACTGCGATTTTTTCGATATAAAATAGGTAATTAAACTTAGTTTGCTGAATTTTTAAGGTTGATTTTATTACATCTTGGGGCAAGTCTTCTATAGGGACGCATCTCCAATTGTATAATAGTCAATTAAATAACAGGGTTGGATGTCCAGAATTTAATTTTTCAGATCATTTTTATGAACATATCTATTGCAAACTTTATTTATTCCATTTATCGAAGGATTGAAGCCCTTATTCAGTGAAAAATTAAGCCCTGGCTACACCCTCCATGAGACATTGCCTTAGGATCTTCGTCGGATTGAAGTTTCATGAACATTATAACTTAGAAGGTATCGTACATGTGTAGTGACTAACTCGGAGACGATAAGACTTGGAAGCACTTCTTTATCAACGAGTACCATCGGGATTAACACACTTAATATTTAGTCCGTCTATTATCGGCGATGCTACTCAGTCAAGACAGTTGGCAGGCTGTCTGACTAGCGGCGCCCCGAGATGGTAGAGGTGGAGACGAGAAGAACGGTTGAGACGATGAGAAGAATGGCGACGATGGATTTCAACAGCACGCCGGGGATCCCACTCCAACAACAGCCCCGAGGTCCCCCACAGGGGCCCCTCTTATATACTGTGAGCGTGGCCTCGCTCCACCCCTGGCCACGCCCCCTTTCTGGAACCTACCAGCGGGTTCCTGGTGGGCCCCTTCTGTGACCTTTCCCCTAGATCCCTCTCTCGTTTATATCCTGGCCTGCTGACGTCAGGACTGCCGTACGCCGCAGATTAGGGCTGAACGATTTGGGGAAAATATCTAATTGCGATTTTTCTGACAGATATTGCGATTTGATTCGTGATTCAAATTTTTTAAGTGAAGCTTCAGTTCAATATTCACTGTGTAATAGATTTAAAACATGATGGAGCATTACCACATGATACCATCAATATATGAACTGCTCTATACATTCTAATGCAAGGATGATAACTTAAAAGATGTGAATTGCTTCCAACATGTATTATTAGAATGGTTTTATTTATTTAAATATAACAATCAAACATAGAAGGATTGTTTACTTAAATAAATAGTTATAATAAAAAATAAAACAATTCGAATAAGGAAGCAATAGCACTTTTCAAATCGCTAAAAATCGCAGCCTTTGCGATTTACTAATCGCATTGTTTCAAATTGCGATTTCTATTTGAAATCGATTAATCGTTCAATCCTACCGCTGATCCCCTTTTCTGCCAGCAGCCATCGCTATGCCGACATTTCATGCAAATCTCTTGTTTCTTATGAAATCGTACAAATTGCTCACGAAATAGCATCATCAATGCCGACTCTACGAGACTAGGTCACGGATTGGTGGAGATGCAATTCATTAAATTGACTATCTTATAGGGCAATCGTGACAGATATCTTTGTCCCAAAGGACCCCAATGTTTTTATTAGGCAACGAGTGAAATCTTGAATGCACAAGACCTGTACTGCCATCGGGTGCATGAGAAGGTATCCACCGTTTCACAAATTCTCCTACCTATCCCTTCTCGTCTCACTCTCCTACCTCTCCCCTCTCATCTCACTCTCCTACCTCTCCCTTCTCATCTCACTCTCCTACCTCTCCCCTCGCGTCTCTACTGCCCTCACACAATCTCCTACCTCTCCCTTCTCATCTCACTCTCCTACCTCTCCCCTCTCGTCTCACTCTCCTACCTCTCGTCTCACTCTACTGCCTCTCCCTTCTCATCTCACTCTACTGCCCTCACACATTCTCCTACCTCTCTCGTCTCACTCTACTGCCCTCACACACTCTCCTACCTCTCCCCTCTCATCTCACTCTACTGCCCTCACACACTCTCCTCCCACCTCTCCCCTCTCGTCTCACTCTACTGCCCTCACACACTCTCCTACCTCTCCCCTCTCGTCTCACTCTCCTACCTCTCGTCTCACTCTACTGCCTCTCCCCTCTCGTCTCACTCTACTGCCTCTCCCTTCTCATCTCACTCTACTGCCCTCACACACTCTCCTACCCCTCTCATCTCACTCTACTGCCCTCACACACTCTCCTCCCACCTCTCCCCTCTCGTCTCACTCTACTGCCTCTCCCTTCTCATCTCACTCTACTGCCCTCACACACTCTCCTACCTCTCCCCTCTCATCTCACTCTACTGCCTCTCCCCTCTCATCTCACTCTCCTTCTACCTCTCCCCTCTCAGCTCGACCCCGCCGCTCCACTCACCCGCTTCGTAAAGCAGTACGCGACCCGCTCCATCATTCAACCCCTTCACTTGGTGCACAGGTACATGTCAGTCCACTGCTTGATGAGTGGCTTCCCCACGCCGTACGGACCGCGGGGGCTATTTGGAATACCTGACGCCAACTGGTTAGTAAAATCGGTGAACATACGTCCAGTATAACGATGGATTGTGCTGTACTGCCCTCTGCTGCCCACCAAGTATGCCAGTCGCTCTGTGATAAACGCCTATCCTACCTGGTGAGCTCTGCTCTCCAGGCTCAACGCCGCTTAGCTTCCGAAATCCATAACGTGGTCGGCTGAATTTCGCTGTAAATGACACATTTGCGGGTGATTTCTGAATAATCGATTGTTTTATTCTAATGTAAGAGTCGATTCGAATACATTAATAAGTGTTGTCAATTCAATAGCTACTCAGGAAATTATTCATATTCCAATTTGGTTACTTATTTATCATCAGACCCCATTGTATACAGTTCAGTCTCCAACTTATCCACCCAATATCTCTAGCCTCTCAATGTACATGCTATGAAGAGAAGAGCCATTGCCCGAAACATCGCCTATTATATATTTTCCTAATAAAGAATTAAAGCTTTCGTGACTGCATAAATTACTCATTGTTTTTTTTCGGTAAAGTCACGTATGTAGTAAAAACAGGTCCCTGCAGGGTGGGCTGGTAGGAACATTGGAATTTTGCGCAATTTTATTTTTACACCCCAACAGCACGAGATTTCACTTCGTTAAAGTATTGAAAGGGGACGGACGGACGGACACATTCATCTATTGCAGGCTGGTACACTCAGTTTACAACTTCGTTCCTACCAGTATTATTATTAAAATAAATGAATCACAACATTATGTGCTATTTGTTTTTTTTACACCTGATGAAGATCGCTTGTGTTGCGGTCGAAACGTCGTGATTGATTGATTTGTGACTGATTTATTTTAATATAATTTTACTACATACGTGACTTTACCGAAAAAACCAATGAGTAATATATTTTCCTTTTAAGACCCCACCATTATTGATGGACGTATCGAGTTAATAATCGTTCAGCGATAGTCGTGTAATATTTTCAATGACTCTGTTACTCGTTCTCTGCAATATTTACACACCTGTCAACCCAAACGGTTTACCCGTATTCTTGTTCAGGGAAATGTAGTTTTTTATATCCATATGGCGTACAGCCGTTTCAATACGGGTAACAAAAAATAAATGAATACATTGTCTATTTGTTTGTGTTTGTCCCCTTGTGATGGGACTTTGTAAGGATGAACGTTGAGATTTATAAGGTCCAACAAGGTCTGTAATAAGGTAGGGCACTGACAAAGTGTTGACAGGTATGTATTTATGGTTTCTGTTTTGTTTTGTTGTCGCTGTGCGCACGCATCGCGTTACCTCCCCCTTGTAATAAAGCCGGAAGTCTGGCAAACGGGGTCATCATTACGGCAAACAAAAATTAACTCAAACTTGAGTTGCCTTTCGGGGGGGGGAAGGTTATTCACCGATTGGCTGGTTGGATCCCACCCACTGCGTGCAGCGCAGCTGCCGACGCGTCCCAGCCAAGGAGGAAGTTGACCCCGCGGGATTTTGGACTTGGAACGCAGCGGGCCCCCCCCCCTCCCCCGCAGACGATGGCGGAGCAGCGACTTCGCCTGTTCCTGGGCCATCTCCGGCCCGTATCCTTTTGCAGACACTGCCACGTACGCTGGCCAATGTTGTGACGACGAGCAGCCGCCTCACTGCCAGCAGCCCAGGAGACGCTGAACCAGTGGGCCCGACGTTCCAGCCTTGTTTACTGTGCTGGGTGGGGGGGGTCTTAAGCCAGCGGGCATGGGGCGACTAGAGCAAAGGGCACGCCGGCCATCGCTTGCGCACTTCGTAGCCACGCGGCTCTCTTGGGCGATGGTGTGTGTGTGTGTGCCTACATTGGCTCAGTTAATCGGTGAAATTCAAAGCTCTGCGCGGTGGTTTGTTGTTGTTGTGACGCGCGGTGCTTTTTTTACGGAATGTTCATTGTGCAGTGACTGTTCTTGTGGCTAGTGGCGTTGTTGTCGAGTGTGCAGGCGGTGCTACTGCACCGGGACTCCCGGACCGGAGGGGCCTAGGGAATTGCACAAGCGACCAGGGAAGAGAGAGAGAGGGGGGGGTGGGTGTTGAATTGGAGAGGGGGGGGGGCCCCCCGTTTCAACGCTTGCGCCAGGGCCCACTCCAAGCAAACTATGCCACTGACTTTTTGATTTGACAACACTGGTCGTGTTGCAACAGAGACGCCTGCCTTGTTCGTAACTGTTTTGTGTTCGTACGTTAAATGCACACGTTCTATGAGGTTGAAGCGTCATGTTAAATGCACTTGTACGGCCAAAGTTGAGCCAAACGACGATTAAGAACGAAGTCCGAGCGGGTGGCGCTATGCTCGGACGACGAGACGTGGAAGTTGCGTTCGTGATGAATCCCGGTGGGTTGATTTTAGCCCAATCGTCGCATCGCGGTCTATAAAAAAAAATAAGTACCACTGGGAATTCATCCGTGGCCGTCAAGTCAGTTTGTATAGACCGCAGACATAGGACGATGGAATTACCCCACCTCTTGACTCGGAGATGAGCGCCACGCATTGCTACTTTGAGCATTGCAGTTCTGAACCGGCTGTAGTCCAAGTAAAGCCACTTGCTATTGTACCTACAGCCGAGGAATGGAGGAACGCGTCTGAGAGGACGTCCACCGAGGGAAATGTAACGATGAAATCAGGTGCCGGGTGGATGTTTACATTGCGGAAGGCTGCGGTCTGCGGAGGGCTTAGTCAAGCAGTGGATTGATAGTGGCGGGTGGGCGGCAAGTGGCACATTAGCCCCCACGTCTGTTTTCAGCCAGCGCATTGTACCGGCAAATGGTTTATAATTATTCAAGGAACGTGAATTGGCCTCATTTAATGTTTAAAGTTGAGACTTTTTAAAGAGTAACGCGCGTGGGGTTTTGCACACAGTGTGCATGCACGTGTGAGGAGCCGCGGATAGTGAGGTCACATCAGGGCGAACAGTGAGGTCACATCAGGGCGAACAGTGAGGTCACATCAGGGCGAACAGTGAGGTCACATCAGGGCGAACAGTGAGGTCACATCAGGGCGAACAGTGAGGTCACATCAGGGCGAACAGTGAGGTCACATCAGGGCGAACAGTGAGGTCACATCAGGGCGAACAGTGAGGTCACATCAGGGCGAACAGTGAGGTCACATCAGGGCGAACAGGTGCTGCGAGAGAGAAAGCAACGCAAGAGAGAGAGACGACCAATTAAGATGCATAGCAGTGCATCTTGGCGGCAAATGCAGGCGCAGAGTAGGCGCCTCGGAGTCTGCAGATTGAGGCGACGGGAGGACGCCAGCTTAATTATGGCGTTTAATGAGGAGGATGAATACGAACGGGTGAGGCAGGGAGAGGAGTTGGTGGGCGTGAAAAGAAGAGGGGAGACGAGAGAAGTCTGGGGCCCGCTCTCCACACCTCGTCCTCTCCAGCGGTGATGGCTAATCCCCCACTGGAGGGATGGGCGAGGTTGGAGAAGTGAGGGCAGACAAGCTAGCAGTAGAGAGGCTAGCGGAATCCCAAGTGTGAGTGCGCGAAGACTAGCAGTAGAGAGGCAAGCAGAGTACATAGCGGAAGGCTAGCAGTGGAGAAGCTAGCAGAGTGTACAGCGGAAGGCTAGCAGTGGAGAAGCTAGCAGAGTACATAGCGGAAGGCTAGCAGTGGAGAAGCTAGCAGAGTGTACAGCGGAAGGCTAGCAGTGGAGAAGCTAGCAGAGTATACAGCGGAAGGCTAGCAGTGGAGAAGCTAGCAGAGTGTACAGCGGAAGGCTAGCAGTGGAGAAGCTAGCAGAGTGTACAGCGGAAGGCTAGCAGTGGAGAAGCTAGCAGAGTGTACAGCGGAAGGCTAGCAGTGGAGAAGCTAGCAGAGTACACAGCGGAAGGCTAGCAGTGGAGAAGCTAGCAGAGTATATAGCGGAAGGCTAGCAGTGGAGAGGCTGGCAGAGTGTACAGCGGAAGGCTAGCAGTGGAGAAGCTAGCAGAGTATACAGCGGAAGGCTAGCAGTGGAGAAGCTAGCAGAGTGTACAGCGGAAGGCTAGCAGTGGAGAAGCTAGCAGAGTGTACAGCGGAAGGCTAGCAGTGGAGAAGCTAGCAGAGTAGCGGAAGACTAGCAGTGGAGAGGCGGGCAGAGTGTACAGCGGAAGGCTAGCAGTGGAGAAGCTAGCAGAGTGTACAGCGGAAGGCTAGCAGTGGAGAGGCTAGCAGAGTGTACGGTGGGAAGCTACCAGAGGGTGTAGTGATAGGCCAGCTGCGGAGAGAGCGAAGCAGGTGAGCAGCGCAAGTGGGAGAGTTGTGACGGCGTTACGGGGTGTTGAACGCGAGGAGTTCTGTTCAATAAAAAGTGACAGGAGAAAAATAAGAAGTCCGCGTGAAATAAAAACACTACAAAGGAAATAAAGGTGCAGCCTTACAATTGCTCGCTCACGCCACCGCTACCAGAAAAGCCTCCACTATCTAGAGAGGGCTTAAACTGCCATGTTGGCCAGTCACAATGGAGTGCCCACACTTTACCCATTATAGTGCTGGATAAAAAGAGGGAGTATTTAAAATATTTAGCCCTTTAAGCTGCCACGCCGGGAGAACGAATAGAGCTAAGAGTATTTGACCTTAAAGGCCCCAGTGTGCTAACACCACAGCAGCATTGGATAATCAAAATATTGGATTTTATACTTGTGTACTGGTTATTCCAGTCACACAAATAAGTGGGCAATAATAAGATGAGTGGCAAAAATCAAGTGGCCAATAATTATTATGCATTGGAGCAATGGCACAGTGGTTCAATCACCGTTGCTATCAGTCCATAACCTGAGTTTGATTCATGGCCACGGCTAGCATCAATGGCGAGTGATATCTGAATCTGTCCTGGGTTTGACCCCTTCATGGACCAGCTTTCTGAAGTGTGTTCAAACAAGCCCTATGACTGGGCATGAGTACTTCATCCAGCAGTGGATTGACAATGAGCTATACGTGAATGTGTGTATAATAATTAGCGTTATTATCTGTGGCAAGATAATCAGTCTTAGGTACTGCTATCCCTGAGCATAAACCCTAAACCCTTACCCTAAACCAGGGGTGGGGAACGTCCGGCCCGTGGGCCGTATAAGGCCCGCAAAATCATTTCGTCTCGCCCTGCCAAGGCAACCGCATGACTTGAAATTCAATAAATCTAGGCGCTTTTTTCATAGCAACATAAATTTAATTTTGTATGGCCCGCGAATGATGTTTAAATATCCAAATGCCCTTGGCAGAAAAAAGGTTCCCCACCCCTGCTTAAACCTTTACCTTAGTACACCATACCAAGAATTTGTGCTCCGTAAGATCCTGAAATAACCAACTTGATGTAATTTTTCATATATGGTTTAAAATGCAAAGCTTACAAAATACAGATGTATAACCATTCTATGTTGCTCGCAGCCTTTGTGTGGGTGTATTTATCAAAATAGTTTACTCTTGATTTGAAGCTTTCGTGCCTGCAAGAATCCATACTCTTTGGTTCTTTCGGTAAAGTCACGTAGGTAGAAAAAATATATCACGTTTCGATCGCAATACAAGCAACCGTCTTCAGGTGAAAAAGAGGGGGAATCTGCTGAGGCCTGCCTCAAAATTGTTTACGTTTAACATTGTTTACATTTGTTCATTTTCCTTAACACGGTCATCAGAGCCCAAATCCTGTTTCACAAGGTGCGGTGACATCCCAACACGGCCTTTCATCCAAGTTCAGGTTGGCATCTCTCACATATGGCTGGATGAATACCAACTTATAAATCTATGTCAAGAACATTGTCTTAAAAGTAATATATTTACATAATAAGTTATACTCTTTGGTTCTTTTGGTAAAGTCACATAGGTAGAAGTAAAATAAAAACAAATCACAACATTTCGATCGCAACACAAGCAATCTTCATCAAGTGGAACAACCACAGCAAGAAAATGCTGAAGTTACTGTTTAGGGCAATTGCCATTTTTTATTAGAGGTGCCAAAGCCCAAATTTACATGGGCTCTGGCTGTGTGTAAGAATGATTTGTGAAAGTTGACATGGTGGATTTGTCATTTTCATAGATTTTCGTGGAATGGGCAAGTTGGCATTGACTTGGATAAACACCTAACATGTTGGGTTGTAATTTACATATTTGCAGAGGGCCTGTTGATTTTAGTGGGGCACTATATTTTCAGAGCGAATGAAAAACACATCACCATAATGCTGTGCCTGAATTAATAGGCCTTCAAAAACTAAATCACACCCTTGATTTTAAATAAATCGTTATTGCTGCAAATGACCAAAATTACCTGGAATGTACCGAATCTCATCAGATCTCGGAAGACAGTTGAGCCTGGATAGTGTTTTGGATGGCTCACCATGCGCAAACAGGTTGTCACAGGCGTTTGGGTCTATCTGATGAGCAGCAGAAGACAGTGCAACAAAATACATTGACCTACTGCATGTCTATGCTCCCGTATAAGATTCTAAAATTAAATTCCCTCACTGACTGGCATGGTGAATTTGGTCATCTAACCCCCATGATCCACATGCTGTGGAGATGTGCTGCACCAACAGTGGCTTGGCTTGACAAAGGGCGGTATATGTACACACATGATTATTGCTAAGATAATGCACACACTGAATTTTTTTTTCACAATGATTCTGGCAAGGTACACTTTGGACAATGGGATTCTGACACCAGAGCAGAGAGCCTTCTATGAAGACAATGGATTTATTGTCATCAAGGGGCTGGTGACAGATGAAGACCTGGAGAGATACAGGTTATTACAATTTTGTGAATATTCTTTTTAACATAAAACATGACTAAAACTTGCTAGACGTGATATTAAGCCACACTGAATGAAAGTATATCTAAAGTCACTTGTCATGCTATAAATTAGGCATTTAACATCAAATCGTGCATGTAAATATTGATGATTTGTGTTTCATATATTTTGTAGGTATGAAGATTATTTCATAGAATCGCATCACAAATCGTGACAATGCATCAACATTTGGGGTAAATGGCACATTTGTCCACCGGCCAAACCTTCAGAGGGGCCCACGAAAAAATATATACATTCCATTTATTATGAAGAAAAGTGGCACTGTTCATTCAAGTTATGGATTTATTAATTGGAGTGCATCGTAGTAGACGGAGCGGTGAATTTTGTGTGTGTGTGTGTATGGTTGGGGCAATGAAGATAGGGTGGGTTTTTCTGCTCCCATGTGCCAGGGGAAAACATACCCAAATCTGGCCCTAGTTACATGGCTAATGTAAACGCATGTCAAGTTAAAACAATTTGCTGTAACCAGGACTTCTCGCTCACTATTTTCTGCAATGCTCATAGGCTGGTTTAGAGTATGGATTATTGGCATAACGTACTACCACGAAAGTATAAGGTATGCCTATCCATAATACTGTATTCATGTAATTTTGTAATCCTATGCACAAATTACAGTACCAAAGGCGAAATGTATGTGGAGTGTCAGAATGATTACCGTGCAGTGGTTCGGAATCTTCCGGCTGAAATTATACACTGGTTGTAACGGTGTGCGTTGAAAGGGATCGTTTTGAGAGGATTTGCCGGCGGGAGGTCACCGTCCCAGCAATAACGATCATGCGAGACATCGCCATCGCCAAGTCCAAGGTCGCTCAAGATCATAGTTCCGTCACCAAGGTCCAGGACTTTCAAGAGGACCCCATCCTCTTTCAGTACTGCCAGCTTCCAGAGGTAGACTGACACCTTTTCATTTCCAAATGTTATTGTTCCACTGGGAAGAAAACAAAACTAGCACAAATCTGTGTGGCTGCTTATAAAAACATCTTAGCAAAATATTCCCTTAATATGAGGTGGCCAGGTGGCTCAGAGGTCAGAGTACTGAGGTAGCATCCCTGAGATCCTGGGTTCTCATCCAAGCAACCACCTGGGAATAAATGGGGTTCTCAAGTTTAGTGGTGGTCTTAAAAACGAGCGTATGAAATTTGTATCTGCAATTAATTTGGCTCGATTCTGTAAAGTTGACTGTCATGCAATGAACATTACTCTTATCACAAGGTGAGTGGGTATGTTCGCCCCATAGTCTGTTAGAGATCACTTTAAGGGATAAAAAGCAGTTTTGTGATATCTGGTTTTGTTCTCTAACACCTTTCCATAAAGTTAAGGAAGAATCTAAAAATAAAATGTTCCCTCTGAGCTTTTATTGCATTTGAATCCATATTGTCTGACTAGTGAATCCAATAGCACATTTAAACAATGATAATGATATGATTTGTAAATGTAACGCAGATATAATATTCCATGCATGAAAAACTTTCATACTTGAGAGATAACAACTTGAATTGTCTGATGTGTTTCCGGGTTTCATATTGCTCCATGTGCTGAGAGATTCTTCAATTACATCACTTCCTAAATAAGCACGTGGAGCAAAACGTCAGATCTGGATCGTATCAACTGAGCCTGAGCGCAAGGGGGGTTGGGCACGTGAGAATGACTAATAAATTAAAATGCTTTGCCTGTTTTAGCAGCATGTTAATTTGCATTCATGTTTTTGTCCCATGTAACATTCTGGAGATCCGGAGAGTGATGGAGAGACACTTGCAAATTATATATATGCATAGACTACCCGCCGCCACACTTGCCCCTGGTTGATTCCGGATCACAGGAACTGACCCATTTCCACCCCTGGTTAAAACCTGAAAACGCATCGGAGAGCTGTATAGCACAAACTCCAAAACCTATGCAGTAACAACCTGAGTCGTTTCACACCACCAGCCCCTGACATCCAATATCCGTCTATGTGCAGATCCTGAAATATGTGGAGTCCTTCACAGGGCCGGACATCATGGCTGTTCACAGCATGCTCATCAACAAGCCGCCCGATCCTGGTATAAGGCTAAAATATGTTTTACCCGTCGTGATTAATTCCTTAATGTAACCATTTTCTGCAAATGCTATTTGGTGAACTGACATAATTTGGCGTCGCGATTTGATTAAAAAAACATTTTTTATTGTGGTGAATGTAGCACCCCTAGTAGCTGCAGGGATCACAGAAACAAATTACATATGTGATGGGTTCACTGAGAGACACACTAACTCAGGAGGCAACACGTTTATTCTATGGACCACAACGGAATAAATACATAAACGGGGTCAGGACAGTCGGCACACTGCCTGACTCACCCACTTTACCGAGCACGAAGACCGAAGACCCAGGGGAAGACGTAGCACTGAGGACTCCATTTCAGCAGACAGCCCCGACCCAGCGTCGTGTCCTCCCTTTTATGCCCCCCAGCGTGGCCTGGCTCCGTCCTCGGCCACGCCCCCTTCTGGAACCTACCAGAAGGGTTTGGGCCATACCCCACATGTCCCTTCTGTCACCTTTGGCCCACATCCTTACCCTGGCCTATCACGTGCCCTTGCCAGCCAACCAGGCTGCTACGCCCTCAGATGTCCCCTCTCTGCCAGCCACCAGAACTACGCCCCCTAGGGACCCGTTTCATGACTTTGCATGCCCTACTGGCAGAGAGGGCTACTCCACTCCCAGTTCCCCTCTATCAGTAACTGGCGCTAGGTGCCGTAGTGACCCATTCTATTTCACTACACATGCAATCCAAATACATTTACATTTTGATTGGAGATTCAATGCAAATTGTTTACACATGTTATACTTGAGGTACTAGAGTAAACACAATTGCAAATGAGGCAAAAAATCATGAGAAATACGATACACAAGATTCCCAAAAATGCGATAAGAAAAGATGATTCCTTCAAATTATATTAGCCTGAACTGTGAGAATGTATTGGTTCACTGGAGGAGGGTTATCATTACATGTGTACATGTACAACCATTTTGTCAAACCACTGCTGGGTTGTGGGGATTATTTGACCATACCTCACCAGGCTAGCAAGTGTACGTTGGTGAAACTAGGGCACATAGATGTTGGAGAATAGTACAGTACAACAATGGAATATTTTTCTGCAACTCCTCTGCACTGACAACATAATCCCACAGCAGCCCTTCAACACCTGTTTTATGCTTGGTGCTCGTCCTTTCATGCACTATCCAGGCTCAACCCTATGTATCTTGTGAGATATGATGAGGTCAGATGTACTCTGGGTGGTTGGATCTTGTGGACAATTAGTTATTTCGGGTGATTTGATTCTTGGATGATGTCATAGAATAAGTACACACCGAGGGATAACATTGTCCACGCACAGCCTTGTTTGTTCGACCTTGAGGTTATCTCTATCTCCGCAGGCCAGAAGTCCTCGCGACATCCACTGCACCAGGATCTCCACTTCTTCCCGTTCCGGCCTGCAGAGCGCATCGTGTGCTCCTGGACCGCCATGCAGCACATCGACCGAGAGAACGGCACCCTGGTGGTCCTCCCCGGCACACACAAGGGAGACCTTAAGCCTCACGCGTACCCAAAGTGGGAGGTGGGATGTGCTTGTTGCGTCCTCAGTGGCCGGTTTGCTCGAGCAACTCAATTTCTCCAGGAAGCAATTGATTAATACAGGTTTATTTCGTTATTGCTAATGCATTGCAGTCAGCCATAATCTATCCGCTGCTGAATAAAAGTCAACACAATCCATTGCCATCCATTGTGGTCTTTCCATACGACAATCCATCTTGCCGCTGAACACGAGCCGATTTGATCACTCTGTCCCTCTTGGTGGACGTCCTCTCGGGTGCGTACCTTCCTTTGGCTACCACTTTGACCACCACTTTGGCCATCATCTCTTTGAGTGATGTGCCCTGCCCAAGCCCACTCTTTTTTTAAAATAGTTAATACGATTTTTGTTTTTTCAAAAGTATATCATTAACACGTCAATACGATTTATTTAACCTGTGCGTGTGGTTTTTTTTTAATCTGTTTCCTCTTTCTATCTCTCAGAGGAACTCCACCTCTGCTTCTTTGCACACTTTTAAGATTTTCTTTCATTTTCTTCATCAGTGGCCGTGTTTTAATATGCACTTGTTTTTTTTTCTTAATTATTAGTGAATATCCTTTATTAACCAAGCAAAGCTTCACTTATTATTAAGGCTCTCTACCAGGCAGGTAATAATGAAAACACCGCACGATTAGATTCAAGAGTCTATTGCCATACTACCATTTCTTGGCCACCTCGCAGCCAAAACCTAATGCGTAAAAATGTGGAGAAGCAAACAGGTAGTTCTCTTAGTATTTCGGCCTCATTGTGAAATGTTGATGCCATTTTACTGTTTTGTAATGAAGTTCATCGGCCCTTCTACACAGAATACTGCTTGGTGTTGACAACCAATTTGCCAGCTACGCATGATATCAGTTTGCTTTCCTGACCTTAGCGAGTACAAATGGTACATATTGTGCCATACAAATGGTATCTTCAGCAAAGTTGCCTCCAAAAACCCTCAGGTTTTATTGAAACTATCCCCAGGCAAGTATAACACTCCACAGCACATTGCTATGTTATTACTACTCACTAGTGGAACTGAGAGATCACAAACAATTTATCAATTCCAATGACACAAGCATTAATGTATTTGTTTTTGTGTGTGTACGTGTGTATGCACAGGGAGGTGTGAATAAGCTGTACCTTGGTTTGCGAGACTTTGATTCAACAGCCCCGCGCTTTCACCTGTCGATGGAAAAGGGTGACACCGTGTTCTTTCACCCTCTACTGATCCATGGCTCTGGCATGAATCGCACTAACGGTTTCCGCAAGGTTTGTGTGAGTTTGTGTATGCAATTAATCAGCTGGCAATAGTAATGTCCCAGTTCTGGCTGCAATATGATAAATATTTATTTTACATTTTTCAGCCCTTTGTCTATCCACTGCTGAATGAAGGCCTCTCCATTCCGTGTGGGTTGTGGGGGTTGTTTGACCAGACTTAGCATCACTGATCAGTGGAGGTTGGTAAAGAGGACGTGCCCTGAGTTGGTTCAGATATCACTGATGTTAATTGTGGCTGGAAATCGAACTCAAACCAATAAAAGCTAATGAAAAAAAATTAGTAATTGATGCCATTCACTAAAGGTTATACTTGGACAAAACATTACGTTTTTAGTCTTTTTGTACTTTTTATTTATTATGAATGTAGTTATAAAATGAATGTGTATAGGATGATAATTAGGCAAGTGTGCATGTGTAGCGACTGTGAATGTCACTGTGCGGTGCCAGGCTTGCGAGGCCATGGCGGATAATATGTTGTCGTTATGTGCAGCCCGGTTACTGGGCATAGTACCAGCCCTAGCGGGGCTTGGGTGAGCGCTGGTTAGCGCAGAGGCACCACGTACAGTGTGCGGTGCGGGCTCCCGGTGAGGGAGCGAGAGAGAGTGTCAGCCAGCCAGGGTTACGTTGGGGCATGATACGCTGGTTGACCTGACGACATGTGATGGACGGGGGCCGCTGGGTGGTCACGTGGTATAAAGGAGCTCTCAGGAAGAGCTCGAGAGATCTAGAAGGTGGGCGGGGCGAGGGGCGGAGCCAGCCCCAGCCCGCGCCGATATAACGATGGCTAGTGAGGGGCTCAGGGTTCTTCGGGTTGTTGGTGAAGAAGATGCGAGATATGAAGAAGTGAGACACCAAGTGTCTCAAGTGAGAATAGACTCAGATATTGTTCCGGCTTGTGGCCAGAAGGTTGGAAGACGACATTGAGAAAAAAATTCAGACCATAAAAGTTGAGAGAAAGATAAGGAGGGAGAAACTGAAGAAGACATAGCGAGAAGTTGTCAACAAGGACTTGAGAGCGTGCGGTATTACTATAGAGGTGGCGATGGATCAGAGACAGGAGAGGAAGGACTTGGGAAGCAGACCCCACCGAGTGGGTCAAACGCTCAGAAGAAGAAGCAGTTTTAGATGGTATGGAAGTATAGTAGTTTGAAAGCATTTTCTTGAAAGCTCATTGTGTATTTCACGGGGGATATTTTCTTGGGGTAGACCACTTGTGCAGTGGTTATCACACTATGCTATGAACCCGGCAACTTCAGTTTGATTCCTAACCATGGCTAACATCAGTGGTGAGTGAAACATTGCCTGGTCGTCTCGTTCCCCTTCACCAACCTGCACTGACCTGCGTGGTGAAGTCTGGTCAAACAATCCCCATGATTAACGCGGCATGAGGAGGCCTTCACCTGTCAGTGGATTGACAAAGTTCTGAATATAACATGAAATTGCATTTGCTAATGACTAATAGCCTGCATATACAGTTTTCATGGCATGGTGTCCTCTGCCTTCACAGTCCATCTCCTGCCACTTTGCAAGCAGCCAGTGTCATTACATTGATGTAAAGGGCACAAGTCAGGAGAACATAGAGGAGGAGCTCGTTGACATGGCTCGGCGTGTCATGGGCAAAGATGTAAAGGTCTCCCTTCGAGTAAGTTTTCTTTTATACTTTTTATATCGCTATTACTCGTTTCAGATTAAATAAAATACAATGTGAATATATATTATCTAAATGTGTCCGGATCTTAAGATTATGTACTGAACAGGCATTATTCAGCATGGAATTGAACAGGGCCAGGAATTGACAGCATGGATGGCTGAGTGGAAGGCAGTTTCACAAGTTTGAGAAGGCAGTTCCAGACTATCAAGGGCGGTAGAGGTTAAGGAGAGATGGATTGCCTTTATAACCAGGTGAGATTCCAGAAATCAGTAGTTTCATATTAAAGAGAATCCTGGGTGATAGTAGTTGTTACTGCTACAGTGTACAACGATATCAGTCACCACAGTCGGTTATTATCAAACCTGCAATATCTTTTAACACCTAGGCTTTTGTGATCAATATGATTCATAATAAGTGTTTGTGTCAGAGTGCTTAAGTAAAATGTGTGTCGTAATCCCTCCACCACTTGGCACAGCCAATTAACAAAGTTGTCACGTGAGCAAATGTGGCAATTTATTACTGCTTCAGCACACTAGTGTATTGGAGAGCAGTCTCACGACGTTTATCAAGTGGGCATGACGTTTTGCTAATAACTACAACCAGCATCATCAGGCAGTTGCTAGAATTGTGCAAATGTCCTTCAGTCTTGGGACTTTAATAGGTGGTGTGATGTCATCAATGTGCACCCACAAGAGAGCAGAAAGTAGCAATATCTCTTCAACTGAGGGGTACTAATGAAACCAAAAAGGATACAAATATCCATGTTTGTTAATCTGAGCTAGATATTTCACGTGTATGCTTATGCATTTTATTAATTAAATTTGTTACCACTGTAATCGTTTATCAGTTTGATAGCATGTTTAACCTTGGAAATATAACTACGTATGCACTGATTTTGCAGGACATATGGCACTTCAAGGCAAAGGTGGTGAAGGGAAAGAGACTGCAACTGTGATGCTGCCAACAGCCCCACAGCCCATCAAGACAGCCACGAGCATTGCATAGCTTTCTGGGCATCATTGTTCGTAGGAATATCACGATTAACCCCCTTTAGCGATTCGATAACTTGTCACAATAAAACAATGCCATTATAGTGCAGGGTGTATGTGAACCAGTGAGTATAGCGAGTGGGAATGTGAGGAACTAGAACCCCAATGCCCCTTCGTGGCATATACAGAGTGCTTCAAAAAAATGTTAACACTTCCCCGAGAATTTGCAACAATACCACAAGAAATGTGCCTCCGGGCTCTAGAGACCACCTGGACAAGAGTCCGGGCATGTGTTGGCAATTATGGTGAACATGTAGAGGCGCTGACTTTTTGAAACTATTAACATGCATTTGTTATCATGTGATAGTGCATTATCCATTCTTTTTGCCATTAAAAACGATAGTCCCATATAAGTGATACAATTTTTTGAAGCACCCTGTATTAGGGGACACACATGCTGTAACAGTTACAGCACTTAACCTTGTACATGGACGTTTGACAGTGAAGTTTATCGAGGGGGCTTCTAGATTTTAAGCTTTCGTGATTGCAAGAATTCATACTCTTTGGTTTTATTCGGTAAAATCACAATTAAAACACGACGTTTCGGAGGCAACACAAGCTTCCGTCTTCAGGCGGAAACAGTCACAGAAACAGTCACAGCACTTGGTGCAGCGATTTTTTGCTGTGACTGTTTCTACCTGAAGACGGAAGCTTGTGTTGCCTCCGAAACGTCGTGTTTTAATTGTTTCTTTTATTTTAATTTATGTTTTACCTACGTGGCTTTACCGGATAAAACCAAAGAGTATCGAGGGAGCTGTACCACCGGTCTGTCGCACCCTCCCATCTTGGTGACCCCTCCCTCCGCCTCGAGTTCCCCCTATTATGAATGTTTGTTTTAACCACTGACTTGATGCAATCGTATGACATGCAAAAATCTAAAAGAATCGTTTATTACATAGTTTTATGTATGTATCAAGGAGGTTTGAATGTACTTTAAAGTAATAATGCACAGCTACATGTACATACAATGCATACCATACAAACGGCTAAAACCAACAAAAACACATTTAGGTTGGTAAGTTTTAATGAATGCAAGCAGCTATAAAAGTAATTAAAATAACATAAAATCCAATTTAATATACTTTATGCGGCTTTGCAGTGCATATTTTAGCCCATTGATAGCCATGCAGCATTGTGACTTTGTGATTTTAATCAAGGGTATTGTGAACACTTTCATATACAAATTTAACTCTGGATCAAAGCAGGTCTTTCACGCATATGACCTCGTGCTCGTATGGCAACTGCTGGACATTAACACACTTCACGGGACCTCGCACGCAAACATCACAAAGCAGTGGCGGTTCGGGGGGGGGGGCGTTTTGAGCCCCCTTCCCCTTTTAAACATCGAAAATTGTTATTTTGATATTTTCCAGAGCAAATACATCAATTATATTTTATATTTGTTATTAATGTAGGGCCCTCGTTGAAAAGCGTAATATATCAGACCTATATTGCACGATATTTGTTGCTAACTTTATACTTTTAATTTCTGAAAAATACTTAAACTTAGTCAATATTCTGAATTATCGGCAATATTTAAATACGGTATTAATGTTGTCGATAGGTGATGTAATAAATGTGAAATATATTTTTGAAAATCAAACCTATTACGAATCAAACAGCAACAAATGTCATACGATATCTCCCCCCATCCCCTTGAGAAGTTTATAGATCAGCATCTGAAACAAATACACCCACCTCACTTCCCCGTTGCTACGACAATTTGCAAGTGAGATTTGCCAGCTGGCACCCCCTCTAGTGGCCTTTAATAAGAAACTCACGCATCGACCACCAATCTTTGAGGCCAGCAGGAAAAAAAATCACACTGACCTGTCGTGGAATGGCTGCATAGGATTGCTAAACTGGCTTATGAGGTATCGAACGAGCTTGGATGTTCTGTTCAACGCCAAAGCCTTTAACTCAGAATTGCTGTACAAAGTTGACCCCCCGGTATTGGCGGATGCGCTCAAGTAACTTGCTCACAGGCGGCCAGTCGCCTTATAACTTTTCTTTTGCAACTACCGTGGTTGCTGTTCCCATGAACTTTTCGCTCCTTGAATTCTCCACCAATACTGAGAACTCGCTCTGCTAAACTGTTTTGTCTCATCCACGCTGTTCAATCACAATCATGCAGGTCCCGACACTTCTCTTACTGCTTCGTCCAACGCACTTCTATTTTTCCAAGTGTATTTGAAATTCAACAATGGCATTAACTCTCACGGTCGTATCTATTACACTGCCGGCAGCATTGCTGGCTGGACGTTTTTGAACAGTTCTTGGCTGCTGTGATTGAAATAAAAATGTGAAGTTGCAATTATTTTACAATGTGAAATTTTATTCAAATAATCAAGAGAAAACGTAACATATAAAACACGAGAACGCGGATTTGCATGATACATTGTGCAATTCTTTCATTTGAAGTACAGATTATAAGACCAAAAAGCATTTATAGCAGGTCCAGTACGAACTCCCTACTCTGCTCGAATTTACAAAACGACACTCATTCACATCCAGCAACTTCCCTTACCAGACGTCGATTGGGTATAACAATTCCCCTACGCAATTCAGTTACTCGATACACGGGTGGATCACAAAATATCGGGAGTGGTTTTTGTGGATTTTAGGACAAATCGGAACAGACCCTGACACAAGCGCACAAATTTTCGTTGCGGCTGCTGGCAAATAAAAATTCCCCTAAACTTAAAAAAAGGAAATTGTACTCCCAATAGATGGCACAAGGACGCAGTAAATTACAGGGTTCAATCCATCCAGGTAATTGTTGTTCACAGCTTGCTGGTGGGTGAATCGCGGAGCCCGTTGAGATTCACCAAGAATGGATCACACACAGTGTGGCTTCGTGTAATCGGCCCACCGCTCTTCCAAACAATGCTCTCTGCTGGCCATTACCTAGAATGGGTGGTGGTAGCTGCATCCAAGCGCCAAACCACGGCTCCAAAAAGCCCCTCTTGGCTTTCCACGTCTGACGAGAGAGATCAGACGCGTTGTAGGCAGTGCAGATGCATGCCTGTCAACCCATACGGATTACGCGTATTCTTGTCCAGGGGAAATTGAGTTTTGAAGTCCACGGCGGCGTACAGCCGTTTCAGTACGGGCAAAAAGAGCTGCCTATGTGTTTTTGTTTCTCCCTTGTGATGAGACTTTGAAGGGTGAACGTCGATCTTTATTAGGGCACGTGCTGACCAATAAGGTCTGTTTTGGTGTGTAATAAGGTAGGGGCACTGATAAGGGGTTGACAGGTATGCAGATATTCTTTGGGTCTTTCGGTAAAATCACGTAAATGGGTGACTTTACCGAAAGACCCAAAGAATATGAATTCCTGCAGTCACGAAAGCTTTTAAGTCAAGAGGTATGCAGATTATGCAGATTCATATCAGAAATTAATATCTGGTATAAAAGATGGATTACCGAAGCTATCAACAGAAGGTGTGTACAGGATTAACTGCACGTGTGGTAAATGTTATGTTGGGTAAATAGGACGAATAATCACGAGACTAAAAGAACATCAGAGAAATATTAAATTTTCACAAATACAGCTGTCAGCAGTAGCAGAACACGCGTGCCAACAAGGACACTCAATTGATTTTGATAATGTTGAAGTTCTGTGCAAAACTAGCTACTACTGGCCAAGACTAATTAGATAATCTATCGAAATTGAAAGAAATCAAAATAACTTTAACCGTTCGGATAGCTACCGCCTTAGTGCTGCGTGGAAGTGAATAATTAAATAATACATTATTAAAATGCATGCCTACAAAGGGCATTACCATTGGTATGGCTATTTTAATCAACACAATAGACTGGAAGGACAAGTTCAAAGGGCTCGCATAATGCACATGCTTAATGTACGTTGTCTCAGTAATACCCCCCCCAACACATCTACGCCTCTATACAAGGAACGAAACAGTAAGACTTCTCCACAAATCTGTCTGTAGCCTGATGAAGCTAGTTGTAATTACTGGCGAAACGTCGTACTCAGATTGTAAATGTTGTGGCTTGGCTCTCCAACGCACCGGTGTGCTGTGCTAGTGACGAATTGGCCACGTTCTGTTTACGTGACAACCCCCTTACTAAATATCCACGTGACAACCCTTACGAGTTGGCTGTGTCGGGTGGTGGTGGGTTTTAACGACACATTTACGCGATCTAACCCAAACACCTCTCATTATGGAGGTATGCAGATGGCAGTACTGTACAGCATAATCTATCGTTGTCCTGTAGTTTCTCTCACGTGTGCCCCCACCCCCTCCCCACCAGACGCGCATTGACCAGCGTGGTGAAGTATGGTCAAATTAAGCCACATGGTGGGACAGTCTGGGGCAACGTCTTCAACACGCGCGATTCCATTACTGGCAACGTGTGTGCGTCGAGATCGATGTTACTGTTTAATGGAATTCGTTACATTTCATCATTCCCATCACCCACAAAACTGGACATATGTGAGAAAAAGTGCTTTATAGCTCATCGGATTCCTCCAATATAATTAAATATATTCTAAATTAAATCAATGTTCTCGCCATATATTATGATTCTGGTAATCGATTCACACGGCACGACTCGATTCGTGCATTGCTCGCGAGATGATGAATCGATGCCAAACTTCAATTCCATATTAATCGAGGAATCGATCCACGCGCACGCTGCGGCCGCGATGGTGATCTGCCGCTTCTTCCTGCAGGGCTTCTGCCGCTTCGGCGATCGCTGCTGGAACGAGCACCCGGCTTCGCCGCAGCACTCAGGTTGGGAAGGGTCGCGCGTGGTGAACGAGTGAGTGAGCGAGCGGGCGGGCGAACGAAGCCAGTGGCGGAGTTTTTTTCTGATTCGTTCATGGGGGGGCGGGCGTCGCCGCTTGGTTGACTTTTCGTGTGACCAATCGGGCGCGTCGGTTAGCGTCACGTGGGCCCTCGCGGACCAATCGCGTTGTCGGGGAGATGGCAAGATGGCGATCGCCATGTATTTCGGTGTAGCCCCGTGAGCCATTCGGCTCTTTAATCTTTAATCGGGTGCAACCGCAACAAACATAAAAACATTAAAACATTAAAAAACACATCTTAAAGTGATTATGTGACTGTGCAAACTGAAAGTCCACCCCAAACCCCGCCGCCGATGGCGGCGGCTTCGTTTGTAAAATAAAACTTTTTGGTGCCCGACAATGCCGCTGCTCTTTGGTTCTATTCGGTAAAGTCACGTAGGTAAAAAATAAAACATAAAAAATAAAATCACGACGTTTCCGAATAGAACCAAAGAGTGTGGATCCTTGGCAGTCACGAAAGCTTCAAATGTAGAATGCCCGCAGCTGGTTGATGTCATTGATAGTTTGGTTTAACCACTGGGGAAATCGCCTCACAAAGCTGGTTTGTAATCGCCCGCGAAACGTCGCGCACGTCAGTGTGGGTTTGGAGGAGTAAACCGATTGGAACCAAACGTTTTGTTTACGTGACTAAACCTTTACCGGTTGTGTCGGGTGGTGGGAGGGTTACGACACATTTCGACTCGCGCGATCTAACCCCCCAAAAAAAACCTTTTGTGAATAATTTAACGTTTCAGGTGACCACCCCCTCACCCCCCGAGCGTCCGCTGTGGCTGCAATTCAAGTTTTGATTTAAAGCTTTCGTGACTGCAGGGATTCATATTCTTGGTTCTTTCGGTAAAGTCACGTAGGAGGGGAAACAATAAAATAATAAAAAAAATAATTGTATTGTTTTAAACTTTTTTTTATTTTATTGTTTCCCTTCTACGTGACTTTACCGAAAGAACCAAGAATATGGAATTCAAGTGTTTATTTTCCTTTCCCTCCCACCCTCCCCTATGAAGTTAATTAAATTGTAAAGACACTTGCTCGACCTTTATCGCCACTGACATCACCAGCGCACATTGCAACTGAATAACTGGCAATTGTTATAATTGCTAACGTCTTGCATCTAACTGGCGCACTCTCTCATTACTTAACACCTCCTTAGTTACCCATCTGCCACTGCTATTCATTGGCATAAAATAAAATGTTTCGCTCCGGATGACGCTGCAAAGTATTATCTGTATTTTTGATTTAGCGTGCTGATCTTAAAGGTGCATTGAAAAATTTGATACTCCGACTGATGCTTCTGTTGTGGAGTAACTCATGCAGCCAGCTATGACTCTAGGTTATGGAGTTACATGTTATGTAGTTTATTGTAAAAAATTCGGTCACAGTCCCTGTGATCACTGTTACGTTGCAATTATGGCTTTTATTTTTTGGTGATTTGGAAAAGTTTGTTAGGGTTTGGACATGTTTTTGTTGTAGTACGGAGTAAGACTGATGGCCTTAATCTAAGTTTTCTTGTGGTGGTTGTTGTTTGACTTGCATCCCACTGGGATTTTTTGCACAGCGTTGGTGTACGATGCTTTTTTCAGGAATATTTTGTTTTTTGCATGGATTTTCTGTTTGCACAGTCGCATAGTCACTTTAAGATGTTTTCTTGTTCGTGTTTCTGTTTGTTTGTTGTGGTCGCACCCGATTCAAGAGCCGAATGACTCACAGGGCTATACCAAAATAAATAAACTAAAATCTGGAAGAAAAATAATACTGTACACTGGTTCTCTTGAACATAATTTGAAAAATAAAACGTTTAAACAAGGGACGTTGCCACTTTACGCACGGTCACAGCAAAAACATAACACGTGTAACGCCACAATAAACTGCCGAATCTACGCTCTCCTCAACACCTTACAATTGAACTGTGCCTATACTCTGGTTCTTTCGTTAAAGTCACGTAGGTAAGCAGATCATGCTTTCCCACTTGATGATGGACGCTTGTGTTGCGCCCGAAACGTGATTTATTTTATTTTATACCTACGTGATTTTACCGAAAGAACCAAAGAGTTAATTCCTGCCGTCTCGAAAGCTCCAAATCAATATTGAACTGTGCCTGTTGTATCTAAACCAACGTTCGTCGATTGTAGATACATTTTCACCGCCTCGTTGGAAGTCCGCATTGTTGTTGAGATACTGATTCCCGTATATAAATGGCATTTCACTACAATGTATTGGCACTTGTAATGTTTGTACAGCATACACACCATTACGTGTTTGCTATGTATGCCATTTGACGATCCAAGGATTTTTACAGGTGAAATGCTTTAATTCATACAATATAACTAATTGAACGGCAAACTTTGGCACCACTACAAAGTGTATTAGCCTATGAGCAAATCGCCCGTAATGCGTTAGATCTTGTCAAATCTATAAAGCTTAAATTTTGAACTTGGATAGGCGACAGGTTCAGCTATTGCTGGCCGTTGTGTGGACAGCAGAGGGCAGTGCAGCAATATCAATTTGCTGTTTTGTATTTATCTGCTCCCACGTTTTTGTTCCCAGCCTTCACCAACCAACCCACTAACAGGTGTTAACGATTGTCAAATAAAGTCCCACGACCTGCACGGCGAGGGGAAGCCCTCATCCAGGCTTGTACATTTACAAAGTGCAATAAAGTTTATATTTTAATGCTGTAAGAGACCAAATTCCATGTTGTAGTCCTGTGTTGTTCTTTATGCGTAAACATAATTCCCTTTGGTTCGTAATGTTATAAACGAGGTAAATTTCTTTGGAGTTTTCACAGAATTGGATACATGTTCAGTCTTTGTTCTTTGCCCAAACATGTGTTCCTTGTCTAATAATGTACCATCCGTGTCCCATGCATTATTTCAGGATATAGTAACCGAGGAGATGGGTTCCAAAACCCCCAGCAGCACCAGGGTCGAGGTGGTGGCCTTCTCCCGACCCCTAATTATAACAGAGGAGGCAGGAGCGACTACCACGGTGGCAGATATGGTGATGAGAGTGACGGCACAAGTTATGGGAGGAACCAAGTTGGTGGGTTTGGAGGTGGAGAAAGAGGTCGCAGCGGTAGGGGAGCCTACGAGGAAGACTTTGGAGGCCGAGGTGGGAGAGGTGCCGGCGGATTTCAGAGCCAACGAGGTGGTTGGCAGGGAAGCACTTGGAAAAGTGGTGGTTCATCAGGAGGAATACACACTGAAAACAAATTCTCTGCGCTGAGCAATGCCAACAGTGAAATGGACGAGGTGGACGAGATCGCTCAACTTGTGTATGTACTATACATACATACCTATTTAAAGCTGGATTGATTAATCGGCTATTTGTGCATTTCATCACTTGCCTAACTTTTTTTGGAATTTCATATTAAAACTAGCTTTGTAATTTGACATTATTTAGTCTTTTATTAAAGATTACATAAAATTTGCAATTTTGGAGGGGAAATTTTGCTAGAAAACTTTTGAATATTTTGTCAACATTTTTAAAGCTCAACGGGAAAAAAACCGTTTAATTGGCTACCATTTGAAATAGAACAGTATCACAAGCTTTTGGTTCTGTTACGTTTTGTGTGTTGTGTGAACAGCATCAACATAAAAAAAGACATGGAACATTGGGAGAGCTCAGGGCTATGGTACCTCTCGTGCTATGCGCCCACAAAAGAAAGAGCTTGCATAACAGGTCTGTTCATGATGGCACTTGAAGTATCGTATTTGAAAGTAGATTTAATAGTTTGAGGACTTTCAAATAATTTTACAAGAAAGTGATGTGGTATTAAGGCTGTAAATTTGTTTTATGCTGTTTCTGTTGAAGGTTTTATTGACCTGTCACCTGAAGAGATTCGCTTGGAGTACTACAAACGTCGAATGTCAAACTTACAGGAATATGTACGTAATGTAAATGTCATTGTGTTCATTCATGTTATTACTAAATTTTGTATAAATGCCAGTGTCGGGGCTAATATTTACGAAGTCATGTTTTGTATATTTTTAATACTCATGCAATTTTCACATTTTTGCCATGTAGTTGGATATGGTCTCACAGCTAAAGGAGAGGTGGCGGCAACGCAAGTCTGAGCTAGCCAACCCCAACTCCCGGGATATTCTGGTGCGTGTTTTGAGTTGCATATACAGCCTGTTTTCTTATATCTTCAGTGTACCCAAGTATTGTGTTTGTCTGATTAAATCGTCCTGGAATGCACCCAATCTCGATACATCTCAGAAAGCTAAGCAGGTTCGAGCCTGGACAGTGCTTGTATGGATAACCATGTCTAAAACACATAGGCTGTTGTAGTTATGTTGTGGGCAGCAGCACAATCCATTGTTACGTCACTATCTTCCCATGTATATTCTACCCACTTGCACCAACCTGCACTGTCCAGCGTGGTAATGTATGGTAAAATGACGCCCACAACCTGCATGTTGTTGGGAGCTCTCATCCAACAAGTTTGACAAAGTGATATACGGTGCATGTACCGTATTTGGATTTTCAGTTCAACTATAACCTGCCTTCACTTACATGACTGTATGATGCACTGTATAACACAGCTCTGTCAGTCTGCTGCTGGATGCGCTGTGTCAGTCATGAGGATTGTTTGACCATGCTTCCAACGCACTGGTCAATGTGGGTTTGTGAATAGTCAGCACCGTTTCAGATATTACTCGCCATTGAAGTTAGCCAGGGTTGGGAATCGAACCTAGGTTGTTAGATTCATAGTGCAGTACACAAACCACAAAGCAACCACTTCAATACCATGACGTATTGTACAATAACATGACTGGATTATGCAATATTTTTTACATAAAACAAGCTTTTCAAATGGATTTCGAGATATGCTGCATGTGTGTTGTCCTTCCGCACCGTACGTAGCCAACCGTGCTAATTGTAGTTGTTGTCAAGTTATGGTAGTGTCATGACAGGAAATGTAGCTTTGAGGTAAAGTGAGGATACATAGAATGGACATTTACAGCCATTTTTGCACAAGTGTTTCATGATACAAATTGAACTTTATCCTTTATAAAATCAGTTTACTTGTAACTTGACAACTTTTTGAGTTTATTAAATTTTGTTAAAGCACACAAGCTTCTTATTTAACTGACTTGTGATGTCATACAAATGATATGAAAAACGTTAGTTTTATTAAATTCTAATATGCGTCATGGACATCTCTTTTGATGCATGCTCTTTTCAGATTGCTGAATTAATTAAAAAACCCCAGGCATTGCCAGCATTTGGGATTTCTGCGCAGCCTTGCTTCAACCAACCAATGGGTAAGGAATTAAAGAGGACCACTTAATTATATATTTTTATCTTTAAGCATGTGTGTAAAGTTACCGTTTTACTTTTTGACTGAAGTTGCATATGGCAGTGACGTTAATATTTATTCGTGTATAATCAGACATTTTTGTTTTGTTACATAAAAATTGTAGTCTTTGGCATAATTTTTTTTCTGTTTTTATTTCATGCTTAAACTTTATATTTGTGCATTTGTAGGATTAGCATTGGGAGGGTTTTCACAGCCTGCATCTTCTCGGCCAACTTTCACAAACAATTCGCAGTCTTTAGGTGAGTTCGTGTTTTTCTGTATTTTTTCTAAATATTAATAATTGGAAAGCTACTTTCTAATTTCTGGTCAAATGTGTAACATCCTGTTGGCAACCGGGCACTCCATAACATTGGGATGGAATGGATCACCAAGTGGCCCAGAGAGCTGGTTACAAAAAAGGTTAAAATTATTTTAAAGTAATCTTCACATTTGATTTCGGTAATGTCTTTGGACTGAAACTGCTTAAAATATCTGCATGCCCACCAGCATTTGGGTGACTCGCCCCCAAAATAATCCAACCAAACCTGGATTAAATGTCAAAAAATATACTACTCATCATGTTGTTGACCGTGTGTAGGTTTTGGAGAAAGCGCCACAGACAGCGGGTTTGCCACTGGTGCAGCACCTGCGTTTGGGATGCCAGCAATCGCAGGATCAAGTCAAGGTTTTGAAGTTGCCCGATCCTCCACATCCGCAAGCAGCTTTAACTTTTCATTGCCCTCCAACACGCAGCCCTCAACCATGGTGGCCAGCCAACCAGCAATCCAGGCTGCAAATTTTAGCTTTTCACTGCCAGCTGCTGGAGCCAAAGGAGCAGGATTGTCAATGGCAACAACCCCTACCAGTTCTGTGGTCTTAAAAGTGGGGGAGCTGCACACACCCAATGAGGAGCTGACACAGAGAGAACTGCAGCAGTTCCAGGCAAAGAAGTTCACATTCACCAAGATCCCGCTCAAGCCGCCCACCCCAGGGCTTCTCCGGATTTCCATTTAAATTGAAGTCAGACTCCATGAGTACGGTAATTGCATTGGCATGGATATTTTTCCCCACTCTGCTGTGAATTTTACAAATGATAAATTGTAGCTTTAGTCATTGTACCAGAAGCGAGGAGTGTCCCCATAACTCATTGAATCTTGTGATAAAACTCATCTCCATTGTCAGTCAAAGCCAGTGATGGGTATTCTACAGCCATCTCAATATTTTTTTAATGATTCAGTTGATACGTAGGAAGGAAGATAGGCGAAGCCTATCCCTTTTGTAAATTGAGGGAAACCTGTTTATATATTTTTTTGTTCCAAGGTAGTATGGAACAATTGTTAAGGTTTCACAACCCAAGTTTTAATGTTTGACTTGTGGATTGACTGGGAGCGTGTGGGCTGTACATTTTGTCATGTTTGTGTTAAACATTTGTTGGAATTGTTGTACACTTAAGTTTATTATTGAATTCCTAACTTTAAAATCGTTAATATATGCCGAATTGTTTAAGCCGAGTCTTATTTTCTAATAAGCACTTGTTTAAAATCTGTTTAAATTCAGATTCTAATAGATGGCAACACAATTCAGTATCGAGGAAAGTTTGGTATAAGGATCTTAAGTTTTATATATATCAGAACCATTAAACATTTTGGAAAGTAGATGTTGCTTGTGCTGTCGGTAATGTGGCCTCGCGGTCGTGTGTTCGTTGATTGTTGCAGATGGTTCAGTCCGAATTCAGCAGCCTCCCCAATTAATAACGCTCATGTATTAACCATGAAAATGCACATCTGCCTCACTGAACATTAGGGATTCTATTATGTAATTTGCAAGAGAGCCATTGTGCTACGTCATTGTCTAGATTTGAAAATGTACCTCCCAAGTTACTCAAAGATGGAGCAATTCTTGCCGACTGCACAAACTTGTCAGGTACATCCTGAAAGAACTGATACTGAGGCTTTCCTGAGTACATGTTAATTCTACTATCGCCATATTCTCTCATTCAAGAGGATTACTTGTGGTGCAAAACATAACCATCTATTTTACTTTACTTATAGAAATGTAATGCCAGAGGCCCATAGGACATACTTCCTGAATTAAATCATCCTCGGGCATGGGAGAAAAAGTACACATTCTTTACACGTGAATTTTTTGCTATTTCGTGATCCCTTTAGAGCAGTGGATAAGAGTACTGGAAACCCTGGAAAGAACACATTTCAAAGTGTAAATTTCAGCTTCATTTTTATTTTGGACAAAAAACAGTAACACCTAAGCAACATTTAAGAACGTCTTTCTGTATTTAAAAATCAATCAAAACCAATGTATACTACAGAATCTGTTTTACGCCAAATATTGAAATACTTTTTATTCAAAATGCCTACTGCTTTTTCCTCAAGGGCTTTGTGAACAAGCCCTACCAAATAACTGGAGAAAGTTTTGCACTAAGGAAAACAAACACATTTTAGTACTTTCTGTAGAGGATGAGAACCTCGGACCATTTACTTGCTTATTAAGTTAAATAAAGTGAATGTCAGAAAGGTCCACTGCCATTTTCTGCATTAAATACTAAATATTGTTCCAAAAAATATTTTAGAATAAGTACAGTTTTTAAAAGGTAAAGAATAACATACCAAAAGTAACTTGAATACAATATCCTGCAGATTTTTTCAAATGGTTGCTACACATAAAACATCTCCAATGCTCAACTGAATAAGTGTGCCTCAAAAGTTAACACAAACACATTCCTCATATAATACAGTCTATGACTACAGCAAGCCAGCTAAGAAAAGACACCGGCATAAATGTTTGCATCCCCTGCTTGCTGTTTTACGGTTTTGCCTTTAAAGTTGGCACATGATGTTCCAAATTGTGAAAGAAGTGATGGTTGAGGGCAGCCTTGGCCGAAACTCTCCTGGTTGGGTCATATTGCAGCATTTGCTGTCACAAAAACAGACAAGGTACATTGCAACAATATAAATGTCCAAAATTGAATGCGATTTTTTTTTAGATTGCATTTTCAGACAGAATTTCAACCAGTTAGCAGTTTAAACACATTATTTGCCTTACCATGAGTAGATCGTGCCCAGCGGCATCCAAGAGAGGCACCACCTTGGTGAGGTCCTGAGCACACCAGCGTGGAAAGGAGGGTTTGTAGTCGGGCAGCTGCGTGATGCCCTGCCACACGGTCTCATCCGGTGTGCCCAGTGTGCGGAAGATGCGGAACAGCTGATCGATCTCCGAGTCACCAGGGAACAGAGCCCGCCGCGTCAGCTGGGTTTGTCGAAAGAAGGAACAAATACACAAGCAATGCAACAGCATCGGCAATGCACTTACAGATTTTCCAAATAAGCAGTGCCATCTAATTTCCACCATAAGTGCAATCGAGGAAATGCGCTTTTTTTGTGAGTTGGCTCCACTGAGATTCCAGCTTTCAAATCTGGGTATCCACCCGTAATTTCGTTAAGTATAATCAACAGTCCAATGGCGTAGCCAGGATTTTCAGGTAGGGGGGGCAACCCCTCCAGCAATAACAAATGATAGTTGTTAGTAAGTAAGGACTTGTCCCTTGCTTTTTATTCGATGCGTGTACAGTACACGCACAATTATGAGTCATAACTGCTTTGCCGTTACTTATTGCCAATTATGGACTGTCCTATCTCAGGAGTCCCTGGCACGTAATAATATGCTACACTGCAAGTCTCACTCTGGTCATCAATAATTGCATGCAAAAAACCCTATTACATTAGTTTTTCACTTCATTTTGTTAAGTTCCAGCTGTGAGGATATATAGGTTTGACTGCAATGCAACTTTCTCTGTATGAGAATGTGGGAAAGACCAGTGCCACCAGGACAAGAGATCACTTGAAAGGATCTGATAAGTGGTTATATCTGCTTTCACAGGCCAACTTTTAAAAATATTTTTAAAACGATGCACTACACAAAAGTTCTGAATTAATACTTTGCTTCACATGACACTGATAATACAATTAGAATATATTTAATAAAACGACATTACGCAATAAGTGCAACCAATTGAGCACGCATTTTCTCGTTAGACCATCTGAACATGAATCTGCATCTTCTCCATTAGACTGTAATTTTCTCCAAATTACTTGAAAGTGACCATTTAAAATAATACCACAGCTTAGCTATGTACTGCAATGTGGGGTTTATTTGTCCATGTACAGGAGTGTCTTGCTTAAAATGCTCAACGAAAACTCGTTAAACGATCATTGTTTTCTCATAGACTCCCATGCATGTTAAAAGCTAAGTTACGTTTCAGCCCTAAAATGTTCTACTCTTGAACCTTTTTAATGTGATAAATACTAATTATAATTTTAAAATAAAGTAATAACACAAATGAAACACCACACGTGAAGAACCAGTGCTTGCAGGTGCCTGGAGTTTGCTATTTGAAGGGTATCTACCCTTCAATATTAGTGGGTGGAGGAAACAGCATGAGCCATGCAGGACCGCTGGTTTAATTATTACTCGCCACTGTTAGCCGTGGCTATGAATCGAACCAGGGATGCTGGGTTCACAGCCACGATGTGGGGATGCGAGCGTGACTTTCTGTCCAGTGTTGAGTCCAGTACCATCTCAGCAAAGATGCAGCCGAGGCTCCAGACGTCGACAGCGGTCGAGTAGTACTTGCATCCCAGCAAGATCTCTGGCGCGCGGTACCACAGTGTCACCACCTGCAGGCAGCAGAAGCAGCGGTATGAAGCCCATGCTCCATGCCGCTATTTTTGGTGCACCTTACTTTACTTACCTTACTTTTTGCACCACCCGGCCTGTGTGTCAGGTCGGGTGGTGTAATCATTACTAGAGTGCACAAATTTGCATATTAAAATGAAGGTCGACTCTGCCCGTAATATTTTTCGGGGTAGATAAATTAGTTACCAGTGTGGAAACGGCTGTCCTACAAAAAAACTCGTCACTTTCTTGGTAACCACTATGGTCGTTACTATGAATCGTGTGCCAGTATAGGGCAGTACAGCAAGCTGACCTAAGTATATGAATACTTATGTTTTATCCATCGTGCATAGAGGTTTATCCAGGCACTCCAATTTTGTCTAAAACAAAAACTTGATTCGAAGCTTTTGTGACTGCAGGAATTACTCTTTGGTTCTTTCGGTAAAGTCATGCAGAAAGAAATTAAATTAAATTATTGCAACACAAGCAACCATCATCAGGTACAAATTAATGAGGAAACAAAAACAGGTCCCTGCAGGGTGGGCTGGTAGGAACATTGGAATTTTGCGCAATTTTATAAGACATCAAGTCTCTGCGCTGTCTATTGCTGATTTTACACCCAACAGCACGAGATTTCACTTCGTTAAAGTATTGAAAGGGGACGGACGGACACATTAATCTATTGCAGGCTGGTACACTCAGTTTACAACTTCGTTCCTACCAGTAATAGTAAACCTGGAAATATAATGCAAGACAACACAGAGTCGGCCAACACAACCGTCAACACGTAATCAACCAGGTGGGATGTTGACTGCTGTGTTTGCCAACTGTGTTGTATTGCATTATATTTGCAGCAGTAGAACTGCTGAACCAGCGAGAGAGCTGTTACAGCAAGAAGTTATTTATGTGACGATGGGCAAGCAAGCGGGGTCTGAGCTGGAAAGGAATTCCATCCCCCGACGCAAGCACGTCAGTTGTGTTCATGGGGGAGAGTAGGAAAAGAGAGATTACCATGAAATTAGCTTCCGTCGCCGCATAAGAGTATCATCCCCGCATATACGCACAACAGCAGTGTTAATGGGAGATTAGCACTATATTGATGGGAGAGATTAGGCAGATTAGTAAGTTAATGTCAACTGCGGTGAGGCAAGCACGTCCACGCAAGAGAACCACCGCAACCGGTGGTCGCGCCAGTGAGACACGAAGCCCATCACACAGCCAGAACCATTGATACATCGAGGTTAAGGGAGCAGAGGTGGCCATGTTAGTGAGGCCCCGCACACACCTCAGCGTGGCAGGTCGCGCGGTTATGTTGCGTCAGACTTTGGGGGTCAGGGCTGCCATACTGCCAATTGGGAGCTCTGTCCACGTCAGTGGCGGAAGTTTGCCCACAGGGTCGTCACCGCGTCCGTGGGATCTTCAGTCATTGAGGGTTCCATTGAGGGGGTCGCATTTCGGATTCTTGTCGATACGGGAGCATCTGCGACGATAATTTGAGATCTCATTGATAATATCTTGCCAGAGAAATGTCGTTCCTTACGCCCCATTGATGTCCCGTGTTTTGCCGCTAATTGGGGGTCGCTTGGACTGATTCGGCCAAATTAGAGCCAAAATATGTATTGGTGATGTGAAATTGGCTGGACCGATCTTGGTCTCTTCATCCCTCACTGTTCCGTGCTTGTTGGGTACGGATTTTCTGGGCAAGATGCCCATCAAAAGCCTGATTGACCAGGGATGCATCGAATTGCCCTCGGGTCGGCGTATGGCATTCCTACCATCCCCCACGAGGTTGCGCACGGCATGCGCCACCGTTCAGGCGCTGGCGTCCCGAACGGTGCGCATCCCACCAGGTGCGCAGATGTTAGTTCCTCTCCGCCTTCGGAAACTCTCGATCTGGGTACGACAGTGGGCGGTGTTCTCATAGGGCCTTCGAATACCGCGGTTCGGGGTTTGGAATTGGTCGGTGAGCAGACGCTGCTATCTGGGGCTCGAGACCCGTTTATCCAGGTTTTGAATGCTGGGCTACGCACGACTGTTATACCGCAGGGCACCGTGCTCGCTCATGCAACGCCGGCACTCCAGGCCGATTCGACGGTAGGCCATGTCGGAACCATGCCTTGGTCACAACCGTGCTCCAGCCTCGATGAACAATGGCTGGATTCGCTGTTCATCGGTTGTCAATTGGTCAAATTCCCAGAGGGATAAATTATGCACTCTGCTACTGGAATTTTATGATGTTTTTAGTAAATCTAAATTTGACATTGGATGCACAAAATTGTTGAAATATCATATTGATACGGGTGATGCTGCGCCGATCCGCCAGAACCCGTTCTGTTTAAGCCCTGCTGAGAAAAAAATGTCAGGTTGGCTGTCAATGACATGTTAGCTGCCGACATCATCTCTCCATCCACCCGCCCGTGGGGAGCCTCCATAGTGCTCGTGAAGCACGATGGTAATTTGAGATTTTGTGTCAACTTTCGCAGGCAAACAAAATTTCAGTAGCCGACGCATACCCTCTCCCCCGAATGGACGAATCCCTTGATGCTTTGGTGAGGGCACATTACTTTTCAACCCCGGACCTCGTCTGGCTTCTGACAGCTGCCACTTGACGCGGATTCTAAACCGAAAACAGCCTTCCGCACGCCGCAGGGTCTGTTCGAGTTTAATAGATTGCCCATGGCTTTCCACTCGGCCGCAGCAACATTCCAGCGGTTGATGGAGCTGGTTCTTGCTGGGCTTCAGTGGGACTCATCCTTGATCTATTTAGACGTCATTGTCTTCAGCAGTACTTTTGATGAACACCTGCAACGGTTGAGGGCAGTTTTTGTTAAATAAAATGCGTGCGGCCAATCTTAAATTTATGCCACAAAAATGCCACCTCTTGCGTGAATCAGTGCGCTACCTTAGCCACATCGTCAGCCAGTTGGGTATTGCCATCGACCCCGAAAAAAACGATTGTGTCCGCTCATGGCCGACCCCGACGTCGGTGGGGGAGGTGAGGAGCTTTATCGGTTTTGCGTCCTATTACCGACGATTTGTCGCGGGGTTTGCTTCCATCGCTAAGCCCCTTCATGCGCTGACGGTCAATGGCGTCAAGTTCCACTGGGGCAAGGAGGAGGATGCATTTAATTCACTGCGCGATGGGTTGGTGAATGCCCCTTCGCTGAGCAACCCAAATTTCACGTTGCCCTTCATTCTTGACACGGATGCGAGCAACACCGGCATCGGGGGCGTTTTGTCGCAAATTGTTGACGGGGTCGAGCGAGTGATTGCATATGGCAGCCGGGTATTGTCTCCAGCGGAGCAACGGTATTGTGTGACACATCGCAAACTGTTATCAATCGTGAGAGTTGACCAGCCATCTGGTCAACGCTCACGCTGGCTGGAAATCTTGCAAGATTACGCATTCACGGTCAAATTTCGCAAGGGCAACCAGCACTGTATTGCCGATGCTTTGTCGCGCCTGCCAATGTGCATACTTCCTGGGATCGGGTCGCAGTGAGCAGCTGGTTGACAATTTGCCCCAGCACCTCGCTGCTACGGCTGAAACAGGTTCTGGGGTGGGCCCTGAGGGTACACTCGCCCAGGATTTGTTGCTCGGCCTGACCCGGGACGATTGGGGTCGCCTCCAGATGGAGGATGCTTCGCTCCTTAAGTTTCGCCGTCGGGCTAGCAAGCCTGCGAAAGGGGATGACTGCGATGATCTCGCGTCTTTTGTTTTGCGTGATGGCCTCGTAATGGCATGGGATGACAGCCTGCGAAGATACACGATCGTTGTGCCCACCGTGCTGCGGGGTAAAGCCGTTTGGGCCGTGCACGAACGTCTCTTGCATTTAGGGGTGCACAAGACCTTGAACACACTCCAATTTCATTTTTATTGGGCCTGCATGGCCAAAGACGTGGCAGATTTGCTGCAGGGCTGCACTCATTGCGCGCGACGAAAGCCGCCTGCCCGACCAACTTGTCCTCCTCTCAGTCCATCCAGGTGATTCGTGTCAACGAGCTCGTTGCCTTGGATGTCCTCTGTCCCTTTCCAGCCACTCCCCGAGGTAATAAGTACCTGCTGGTTTGGGTAGAATATTTCACACGTTGGCCAATGGGGCTGCTCCCCAACCAGTCGGCAGCAGCCATCGTAGAGGCCTTTTTCCAGAGCTATGTTCTGGACAAGGGTGCTCCCGAACGGTTTCTGACCGACCAGGGAAGAAATTTCTCGTCCACCTTGCTGCGGGACGTTTGCGACATGCTGGGCACGCAGAAAATTCGAACCTCCCCATACCACCCACAGACTGATGGTATGGTTGAGCGATTGAACCGAACGCTCATCTCCATGCTTTGTCATCAGGTGAGCCAATCGCAGCTTGACTGGGATCTGCACATCCCTGGTGTCCTGACCGCTTACAGAATGGCGCCTCATTCGGCCACGGGCTACTCACCTTTTTACCTCATGTACGGCAGAGAGGTTGACCCACCTGTGGAGGTGCCGTTGCGTGTAGAACCTGCTTCACGAAAAACTAAATTGTCTGACCATGTGCGATTTAACCTCCAAAAGTTGTTCGAGGCCAGGGAGGCCACGCAGGAAAATTTGGTCGGGCGACAACGTGCCAACGAACGGATGCGCCGAGGGGGCGCAGGCCTCTTCTGTCCCACCTGTGAAACCCCCACTACCGTACGACGGCCCTGCGACATGGACCCGTTCAAGGGCCCCAAGATTTTCATGACCCTTCTCCAACCCTCACACGCACCACGACGCGCACCTACCTTCGTGCCTACCTTTGTGTTGGCCGGGCTGCCACGGTTGGTGGCCCTCCTTGCCTGTGACTTGCGTTCAGTCGTCATGTTGTTTTAATTGCGTGGGTCGTGGGTGCGGCGCCGCGATGGATTCGTGCGGATACCCTCTTTACGCGTGGTTGTCTAATTGTACATTTGTAAATAGTGTAATTTTTGTACAGGTGGGCTGGGGTATTTATGTTGGGTTGTTCTTGTTGTGTTTTTCTTGAGGCGCGCCTAATTGTTGTTTTTCACGGTTTCGGGGAATTGTTGCCAGTCGGGACGACTGGGTGCTACGGAGGTGGGGGGGTAATGTAGTGGCATCGTTGGCCACGATCGCCACTATTCATAGCCGGCAGTACTCGCTCAAGCCAGTAGAGAGTATAAGGGAGGCCGGACCAGCTCAAGAGTAATGTTGGGCAGTTGGCCCTAGGCAATCCCAGAGGGGAGCATCGGGACCAATGGTTGGGACCCCAGACCCCCGGAAGGGGGCTGGGGGATGAGGTCATTCTCCAGGGCCTTGGAGAAGGTTCTGGAAGGGAGGCATGGCCAGGGCCGGAGTGAGCCGGGACCCTGTATATAAGCCAGGTCCCTGAACGGTTCAGTTCAGTATCGTCCGGCTAAAGACTGAAGATCAACCTGGAGCCCTGAAGAGAGAAGAGCCCCGTGGGCAAAGCCGAACCCCTGGCTAGGGTGAGGCTTGAGCTGTAACAGTGAAGCGCTGAGCTTATAACCAGTGAAGACTCCAGAGAAGACTCAAGCCCCCGGCAGTGTAAGCATAGTGATTGCCCAAAAAAGGCGAGCTAGCTGGCTATGTAGGACATTGGATGAAAGGGGCCGTTACCCCTTTGTATTGTAGTTTGTTAAGTTGTAATAAATGTGTTGCCTCAAAGCAAGCTTCCGCCAGTGTATTACCCACTACACATTTAAACTTCATGAGCACAAAACATAACACTGTATAAAAATAGATTATTCACTATTTCAGAGCTTAGCTAATGTTTTTGCAATGCAGTTGGATCTGTTTATCATGCCTCAGTGAAGATCAGATTTTGGAACGTATTTGGGTCTAAAGCTGTACACTGAAGAGGTGGACCGCAGCCCCTCCCCCCTTACCTCGTGTGTGTACGTGCGGAGTGGCACTCCAAAGGCGCGCGCCAGCCCAAAGTCTGCCAGCTTGATGGCACCGTCGGCGTTGATGAGCAAGTTCTGTGGCTTGAGGTCACGGTGCAGGGTGCGCTGCGCATGGCAGAAGGCGATGCCCTGCAGCAGCTGGTGCATGTAGCTCTACCAACAACGGCGGCACGTCCGCAACAAAACAGGTCCCAAGCATAAAATTATTGAGAAATTATTACATGCATTTTGTGCAATGCCTTAATTTCAAGCATTTAACAACTATAGATAATTAACTGTGTTCCTGGGACTGTGAATACTTAAATGCGTGTTTTATATGTTTTTTAGCATCAGCATTGCCTCGAAATACAACTCACGACTTGAAGATAAGCATAAATTACCCCATACCTGCATCAAACTGGTTACCCAGTTAATCAGAAACATTTTCAGTAACTTGTTATGATAATCGACGTGCATGTGTTTTTTTGGACCCAGACACAAATATATTGGTTACTGGTTATATAAATAAAAAATGATTTGAGCAAAATTATATAAAAATGCTAGATTGGACCTCATTAAGATTCTGATCAAAAGTTATTTGGCTATTAGAGTAACACTCAGAAATGAAATAATGTCGACATGAATGCAATCAACTTGCATTCATTAAAGCATTTAGGATGCCTCTGGTGACTCCATAGATTCAAAAAAAAAATACTCGGATAATAGGATCTGCCAATAGTGGCCCCAAATCAACGTGGATAGGAGTTATTCTTTACTTGCTACAAGTTTTTACAAATAAATGAGTACTCCTCAAAGGGCATTATTCCAATATTTCCCTTCGTTTGCATTAATCCAACATTTACCTTCATTTACAAATACATTTTTATCGGATTATTTTGCAAATGTCAGCAAATGTAATAATTACTGGTAGGCATAGATAACTTGAAAAACATCTACTACAACCACCAACTACCCTCATGACACCAGGGATTTGGATACTGGAAACACCTCCATGGGAAAGAGTTCAGCTGGTCTTCTTTAAATTATATTTATAATAAAACCAAAAGAGAGATCTGTGTCCAGTACATCGGAGTAAAGTCAGTTGCTTGGTGTCGTGATGTGTACATTTAGAAAGAGAGCAAACGAGGGAAGGAGAGTGCTGTGCATAAGAGGAAGCCTAGGGTAGTCTAAGTGGATAATGTGGATGCTGAAGGCATGGTGCAACTGTATGGAACCTAACAATTTAGTGCCACAATAGGAGAAATTTTACCTTGACCAGTGGCAGGGAAATCCCTAATGGGGGTGCATTGTCCATATACTTCTTGAGGTCCTGGTCAAGGAACTCAAACACCAAGTACAGCTTGGTCTCACTGTGAATAACATCCAGGAGCCTGTAAATGGATAGATACAATTCGGCCCCAACAGCAGGGTACAGCGATGCATTGATTAATATCGATTCTAAAGTTCAGTGTGTAATGGGTTCGTGTGTATGGCCCCCCACAGCCACTCGTGGCCACCACACTCACGACAATGTAAAGGATGATTTCTTGAATTGTGACAATTCATCGAATGGATGAGGTTGGCCATCGCTATATGCATAACAAGCAAGATTTTGTACAATTTCATATTGTACTAATCTCAAATTACCAGGTAATAAATAACTTGACCTAATTTATCAATCACAGATGTTGTGGAGTATTTGAAATAATACATACCGTATACATACGTTTGTTGTCAACCATTTGGTGAGGCACCACAGGGGCATCTTTGTGTATTTGCTGTATTGCTAAAGCTTTGTAGGCTGAAGCGATGCATTGCTGTTTGCCCATATTTGTGCACCCGTGACATTTAATGCCACTGTGAATTCAGCTCTCCATGGTTATATTTTTTAAAGACTACAAAAGATTGAGGGCAGCTAACATGTCAACACTCGAAAGCTGGGTGGGCCCATCCTTGTTTAATAACACTGCAAAGCCACTAATGCCACAATTGTACATGCATAATAGAACAGAAAAGCCTTTAAACATTACACACTTTTGTTGTTTGTGTGATGTGCCAATGCGAAATTACACTTAATTACACTATTGAATTGTCATGGTACAAGGTTGTTCAAAACAAAATACATATTTGGTCCTATTTCCAATTTATTTCAATTATTGCTATCCACGTCCTGTCATAAAACAAAAAAAATATTTGGGTGGCTGAGCCCAAATTAAATCCAGGATCTTGACGGTGCCACCTCAACAATCTGACCAAAGCAAACTAAACACGAGAGCTGCCGACACAGCATACACATCATAAAGCTGCTTCAGTTACCTTGTGCACAAAATAACCGGATTGATAAACATAACTTTGAAATAACCATGTTTCTGCAGGGAACCGGATGGTCAATTTTAAGTCACCTGTTATTTTACAGCATCAGTTTTTGTCTTCCTCTCCAAAAGTGGAGGGGCAAGGGACAGTTGCCTCCAAACATTCCCATGAAGAGCAGGTTAATACGGCTTGGCCATGTTTACCATATAAATTGGCCAAAGATCACATATGGAGTATACATTGGCCACCTGGAAAAACGATAAGTGGAGGGCTGTGCATTAAATGACAGCGATCAATGACCAAAGAACTTCAGAAGCCGGGTATCACATAAGAGGCTAGATTGTGGCAACGTTTATGTGGTACACAAGTAGCCAATAAGGATGTAATCTTAATTTGAAGCTTTCGTGACTGCAGGAATCCATATGAATAAGGATGTACTTGACCGACTTCAAACCTCTGGGTTTAGTACACTCACATTGCCAACAACAGCACCATGTATGAACCAATCTGGACCCTGGACAGCTAACGGCTGTGGTCGCAGAGACGTGATACCTGACAATGTTGGGGTGGTTGAGCTCTCTCAGGATGTACTTGACTGACTTTTCAAACCTCTGGGTTTAGTACACTCACATTGCCAACAACAGCACCATGTATGAACAAAACTGGACCCTGGACAGCGAACGGCTGTGGTCGCAGATACGTGATACCTGATCATGTTGGGGTGGTTGAGCTCTCTCAGGATGTACTTGACTGACTTTTCAAACCTCTGGGTTTAGTACACTCACATTGCCAACAACAGCACCATGTATGAACAAAACTGGACCCTGGACAGCGAACGGCTGTGGTCGCAGAGACGTAATACCTGATAATGTTGGGGTGGTTGAGCTCTCTCAGGATGTACTTGACTAACTTTTCAAACCTCTGGGTTTAGTACACTCACATTGCCAACAACAGCACCATGTATGAACAAAACTGGACCCTGGACAGCGAACGGCTGTGGTCGCAGAGACGTGATACCTGACAATGTTGGGGTGGTTGAGCTCTCTCAGGATGTACTTGACTGACTTTTCAAACCTCTGGGTTTAGTACACTCACATTGCCAACAGCACCATGTATTAACAAAACTGGACCCTGGACAGCGAACGGCTGTGGTCGCAGAGACGTGATACCTGACAATGTTCGGGTGGTTGAGCTCTCTCAGGATGTACTTGACTGACTTTTCAAACCTCTGGGTTTAGTACACTCACATTGCCAACAACAGCACCATGTATGAACAAAACTGGACCCTGGACAGCGAACGGCTGTGGTCGCAGAGACGTGATACCTGATCATGTTGGGGTGGTTGAGCTCTCTCAGGATGTACTTGACCGACTTTTCAAACCTCTGGGTTTAGTACACTCACATTGCCAACAACAGCACCATGTATGAACAAAACTGGACCCTGGACAGCGAACGGCTGTGGTCGCAGAGACGTGATACCTGACAATGTTCGGGTGGTTGAGCTCTCTCAGGATGTACTTGACTAACTTTTCAAACCTCTGGGTTTAGTACACTCACATTGCCAACAACAGCACCATGTATGAACAAAACTGGACCCTGGACAGCGAACGGCTGTGGTCGCAGAGACGCGATACCTGACAATGTTGGGGTGGTTGAGCTCTCTCAGGATGTACTTGATCGACTTTTCAAACCTCTGGGTTTAGTACATTCACATTGCCAACAACAGCACCATGTATGAACAAAACTGGACCCTGGACAGCTAACGGCTGTGGTCGCAGAGACGTGATACCTGATAATGTTGGAGTGGTTGAGCTCTCTCAGGATGTACTTGATTGACTTTTCAAACCTCTGGGTTTAGTACACTCACATTGCCAACAACAGCACCATGTATGAACAAAACTGGACCCTGGACAGCGAACGGCTGTGGTCGCAGAGACGCGATACCTGACAATGTTGGGGTGGTTGAGCTCTCTCAGTATGTACTTGATCGACTTTTCAAACCTCTGGGTTTAGTACACTCACATTGCCAACAACAGCACCATGTATGAACAAAACTGGACCCTGGACAGCGAACGGCTGTGGTCGCAGAGACGCGATACCTGACAATGTTGGGGTGGTTGAGCTCTCTCAGGATGTACTTGATCGACTTTTCAAACCTCTGGGTTTAGTACATTCACATTGCCAACAACAGCACCATGTATGAACAAAACTGGACCCTGGACAGCTAACGGCTGTGGTCGCAGAGACATAATACCTGATAATGTTGGGGTGGTTGAGCTCTCTCAGGATGTACTTGATTGACTTTTCAAACCTCTGGGTTTAGTACACTCACATTGCCAACAACAGCACCATGTATGAACAAAACTGGACCCTGGACAGCGAACGGCTGTGGTCGCAGAGACGCGATACCTGACAATGTTGGGGTGGTTGAGCTCTCTCAGCAGGGCGATCTCCCTGATGGCCGTGCTGGGAACTCCCTCCGTCTCCCTGCACGGGGATCACCCAACGATGCACCGTCACTTTTGCATATTAATCCTAGCTGGTCTCTTGAGTTCTCACCTGGTTTAAAAACAAAAAACTTGAAATGTTTTAAGTTACTGTTTTGCAATTCAAAAATCGGCACATGCGGCCTGTACTGTATGCATGTTGAACTTCTTGGGCACCGTACGTAGCCAACCGTGATAATCGTAGGTGCGGGGGGGGGGGAAGGACAACAAACTAAAAAGTAAGTTGTTAAGACAGTGCAGTAACCGTGGTTAGAACGTTTGCTTCGAGGGTCTAATGCAGTAACCGGGGTTATAAAGCAGTAGCTGCTTGTTACTCGGTGGCGGCACTGTATCGCCGATCGTTTGGCTATAACCAAGACCGTCTTACGTGTCGAGACGAATCTTCTTCAGCGCCACCGTGTCTCCCGTCATCTTGTGGCGCGCCTTGTAGACCACCCCGTAGGTGCCCTCGCCAATCTTCTCCACCTTCTGGAACAGGTCCATGATGCCCTGCTCGGGTTTCCCGAGTCCTCCCGAAAGAGACTTCGCCATGATAACAATAATAAGCTCCCGTAGAGCAGGCGCGTACTCTCGTGTGTAAAAAAATATATAAAAAAAAACCTTTACAAAACAAAACAGCTTCAATACCGTCCGTGGCTTTCGCGGCCCCCTCCCGTGTCTGGGCAAGGCTGTGCTTTACGGAACGCGAAGTTAAACGCCGTGTTACTGCCGTTGTTCAGCGCATGACAGCGAGCGGCGAGGGGCGCCGCTGAACGCTCGCCAACGTCAGGTCTGACACTTTCCCGCGCTCTGCGCTTTCCCGCCAAATCCTAACGGGCGCGCTCTGCCGACGTCATCGCGACGACGTCGCTGGATTGGTTGGAGGGTTGTGGACGCGGTGGGTGGTGGTGGTGGAGGGGGGGGGGGCGGAGCTTGTCACAGAGTTCATGGGGTCGCCGCGATAATAATATATCGCAATATATCGTGCGACATCGACATCCACGATAATCGTATCGTCAGTTCGTTTAAACTAAAAGTAAGCTCCTTTATTTTATTTTACCGGGTAAGGCCCACTGAGCTATATTGCGTCTTTTTATTTTCCCAGAAGCGACCCTGGCCACAAATGCCATCTGCACGAAGAGGCTAATCGTCGCCATGTGTAAATGTATAGCAGCCACAGACTCCTAAATGCTTGATGTTGATTCTAAACGTGGATGGGGAAAAACCCCCCGGAGGACTCGTAGACAAATCCACGCGACTACGGGGAGAGAGACACCGCAAACTACTACAAATATACAGCAGGCGTCAGGGTCGGTGATCGAATCCCACTACCACCTGTATACCAGGCGAGGTAGTCAACATCTCACCACAATGCTTTTACAGAGCGGAGTCGGATCCGAGGTTCTGCGTCAGCGCCACTCAAACAACACGCAAACCTTCCTGGTTCTTTCGGTAAAGTCACTACACTACGTGACCTTACCGAAAGAACCATGAAGATGAATCCCTGCAGTCACGAGAGCTTTAAATCGAAACACGCAAACCTATCAACCCCTTATCGGTGCCGACCTTATTACAAGCCAAATTCAGACCTTATTGGTTACCCCGTGCCCTTTATACATCTCAACGATCTCAAACATAACTCAGCCGTCCTGGGTTCAGCCCTATAGTCCATGGGCTAGGATATAAACGGGCACTGCCTAAGGTGCCACCAGGAGTTTGGTGGAACAATGTTTTTATTTCGTCAATATTGTATTTTAAGTGAAATCAATTTATAATTGGAGAAAAATATGATAAATCTCTGCAGTAATTATATTAATTACTAGCTTTACTACCCTGGACTTGGATTCACCACGCCCGGCCGCCTTTGTCTCCCCAGTGGCGATGTTCTCACCACACCAGACCAGTTACTCGTTTGAGGCTGAGTCGACCTAGAGGAGGCCCAGGAACGGTTCAAATAATCGTCACCAGTGGTGGCCGTGAGCGGGAATCAAACTCGGGTCGCTGGGATCGTAGTGCAGCGCGCTAACCACAACACTACCGCTCCCCCCCCACACAACAACAATAACCGCCATTCGCCACTAAGTGGCGGTGACGTCACCACGACGCTTGTGCCAGGCCATGTGCACCTTGAGGCCACGTGAAGTGTCGAACGCCCGCTGGCAGGAGGTCACGGGGCAGACCCAAGTGCCACGGGTCGACTGACTAAGATGACTGAGATGGCTGGCTGATGCACCACTTGTGCCCCCTACTGTGCCAACCTGCTGTGCTTTAGCCACCCGGAACTCCGCTCGTTGTTCTGAGCGTCGCTCCTCCGCCCTCCGTTGTTGTTGGATGGCGACTGCCTCCAACTGCCCAGTAGCATCCTTCACGTGCCTCCTCCACAGAGGCCGATCTTGACACCGCTGGTACCAGTCATCGGCAAGTCCACTCAGCTCCACGTCCTCCTGTACCACATCACTCCATCTCTTCTCTAGCCCGTGCCGCGCCCGTTTTGCCCCCTCGATCCGGCCGAACAAAAGCTGATTCGGCATGCGGTGGCTGGGCATGCGGGCTACATAACCCAGCCAACACAGCCTTGTCTGCCGGAGGAGCTCACCGATGGGACCTTGCCCAGATCTTTCAAGGATTTGTGAGCTCCTCACACAATCCAGCCTGGTTAAACCCAGGATGGATCGTAGGGGGGGTCCATGTTTCGCAAGCGTAGAGAAGGGAGGGAATGACCGTGGCCGAGAAGACCTGAAGCTTAGTGCGGAGCGACAGACCAGGTAGCTTCCACACAGCGTTACGCAACCGATGAAAAGATATTGCCGCTCGACTGATTCGGAGTGAGACCTCTGCTGTTAAACTGGAGCCAGTCATAAGCACACTGCCCAGGTATGGGAAACTCTCCACTCTCTCCACAACTGCCCCATCACCGATTGGGAGTTGTGGGGGTGGAGTGTCCGATGGTACAAAATACCCAGGCAGGTGCTTAGTTTTTGTGGGGCTGATGGTAAGGCCCCATCTCTTAGTTGCACGCTCCAGTCTCAGCAGCAGCGTCTCCAACTCCTCCTCTGAATGAGCAGCTATTACCAAATCATCGGCATACATAACATGGTTGAGCAATAGGGAGCCATCCCTTGACCGCACCCGGGCATCGATCCGCCTCCCATTATATCTGTACCATATGGAGATTCCCCCGGTACAGCTATTGAAGGCTTCACGAACTACGTGGTCAAAATAGATGTTAAATAATGTGGGAGCCAGAGGACATCCCTGTCGCACCCCAAGGTGTACAGGGAATGGCTCTGACTCCCGGCCACGTAGTTTTACCCGGGCCCGCTCACCATCATGAAGGTCCTTAATGATCGTGAGCAGAGGGTCAGGTACTCCAAAAGCACGAAGAACGACCCAGAGCCCAGGCATACTGATGGTATCATAGGCCTTGACCAGGTCAATAAAGCAGAGATGTAGGTCTTGTTGGAATTCCCCACACCTCTGCTGTAGCAGACGGACAGAAAATATGGCATCTGTGCAGGACCGCCCTTTCCTGAAACCGCATTGGGGCTCCGCAAGCCTCTCCTCAGCGTGCCTGGCAAGGCAATACTTAACAATCCTTGCCAGGACCTTTCCCGGCACACTGCGAAGTGAGATGCCCCTGTAGTTGTCACAGTCTGTGCGGTCCCCCTTTTCAAAAAGGGGGACCACCAGGGCATCCCTCCAATCCTGCGGAACCCGTCCAGTGGTCCAGACCATTGTTATGATGTCATATAGGGCAGTCCGTGCACAAACGCCACCCTCCCTCAGCATTTCGCTTGGGAGATCATCTCTGCCCGCCGCCTTTCCTGGTCTCAGACTCCAGATCGCCCTCAGCACCTCCTCAACAGATGGCACCCCAGCCAGCCACTCACAGGGGTGACCTCTTCCAATATCTGAGGCACCGCAGCCTCAGCAGGGTCATACTCACTTTGTGCCACGATGTTTTCCTGGCTGAGGGATTTTCCCTCCCCCAGGACCTCACAGAAATGCTCAGCAAATCTGCAAACCTGTTCCTGGGGGTCGGAGATTGGATCACCGTTTTTTCCCCTAATGATGGTAATAGGTGTGGCGCTGCCGGTTACTTTTTGATGGAGTTAAATAGAGATTTGTGATCACGGGCCACTGAGGCAGACTCCATCTCCTCAGCAACCCGCGACCACCACCCATCCTTGCAGCGCCTCACGGCTCTCCGAACCTCCGAGCGAAGGCTGCGGTAAGCCTCCTCATTCTCTGACGTGGGATTCTGTAGCCGATGACAGTGGGCCTGTCGCTTTTTCTCAACTATCCTGAACACCTCCTCTGTCAGCCAGGGTCTCTGGGGAGGTCTGGACCGCGTACCTAAAGCAGCCATTGCAGCTGCATGAGTCACAGTCCTAAACCTCGCCCATTTACCCTCGACATCAGGAGGAGTCAGGGACGATGCCAATCCCAGCCGCAAGCGATGATGAAATTCTCGCTTGCAACTTTCATCAGATAACTGAGACCAGGCCACTTTAGCTCGGAATGAGGTCCTGGGTGTACACCCACCACCGGAGTGGAAGAATGGCAGGCGCATCTTACAGATGACTAATCGATGGTCAGAGGGCAGATCAGCTCCACGGTAGGTCCTGGCGTCAAGGACATGGGCTCGCATTCGCTGGTCCGTCACTATGCAGTCCAGCAGATGTTCTTGCTTGGACCCGGCATGCATCCATGATCTTGTGTGGATGTGCCGATGCCGGAACAGCATGTTGGTAATTACAAGCCCATGGGCTGCACAAAAATCTAGCAGCCTCCTACCGTTGTTATTGAGCTGATCTGGCCCATGCCCTCCAATCACTCCAGACCAGGTGCCAGCATCATGACCAACTCGGACATTGAAGTCACCCAACATGATGACTCTATCCCGAGGTGCCACTTTAGCCAGCACCTGTGATACACACACACAGACACAAACACACAGACAGCACGCTAATCACTACACTACCGCTCCCCCCACACACACACGCGCACGCGTCTATATGTACACATACACGCGCTTGCTGCAGACACACACAACTTTCAGGGTGCGTACGGCAGTAAACGACTGAAATAATAAAGCAATTCTGCGCGAAGAGCGCCTTAGACCTGCAACGCATTTGGATTTCACTTTACCCACGGAGGGTTGGGGGGGGTGAGTGACATGAGCAGGCACACTGCGTTACGCTTCCGCATGCGGGTAACGTCACAGATGTGACGTCACAGCTCACTTGCCGTGCAAAATATATGCATTATTGCGCCCCCCCCCCCGCCGAAAAAAATATATAAAAGTATTTTTTTTAGAATTTTTGCATGGTGTACAGTCTGGAAAGTACCCACATGGCAAATTTCAAGTATGTTGCATGTCGGGAAGTACGCTAAACATTTTGAACAGACACATATTCACAAATTTCCCTTTTTTATATAGATTACAATTAATTTCCTGTCTCACTTGTACTGGTTTGCCCCGACTGGACATCTGTGAAAAAGAGCTTCATAGCTCATCGGATTTCTTCAGGATAAATAAAGATTAAGATTCCAAGTTTAATTAGTATTATCAAAAATAGAGGTGTTTTTGGGTTAGACCGCATACATATAAATGTGTCGTTATACTCGCCACCACCCGACAGAGCCAATTAGTAAGGTTTGTCATGAAACATGCAATTTCTTTACTAGTACAGCACACTGGTGTGTTGGAGAGTAAACCCACAACATTAATAATTCAAGTACGACGTTTCGCCAGAAATTACACCTAACATCATCAGGCGACAGCCAGTTTTGTGGAGAATCCTCCTGTTTTGTTTTAAAATAGAAGGATACATGTGCTTATAATAATTACATTTAGATAGCGCTTTTCATCTAGGATCTCAAAGCGCTGTATATGACAGGAGCAGCAGACACTCAGCATAAAAATAACAAATACATTTGAAGAATCATTCATTAAATTAACTAAAAGTTTAATAAGCGGAAACATCACATGTGAGCCAATCATGTGTGAAGGCCAGAGAGGGTGGGGGGGGGGGGTAATGTATGCATATAAATGACAATGGATATCCATTACCGGTTGTATTATTCTTAGGGTAATAATATACATTATGGATGCACATTATGCATGCACATTGTGCTTGTACATCCAGCCGTTTTTGTGTGCACGAAAATGGCAGTACCTTGTTGGCACGCCTGTTCTGCCACTGTCGACAGTTATATTTGGGAGTATTTAATATTCATGTGGTGTTCTTTTAGGCTCATGCTGAGCATTCGTCCTGTCTGACCAACATAGTATTGGCCGCAAGAGCAGTTATTCCGGTACACACCTGTTGATAGCTTCGGTAATACATCTTTAGTACCAGATAGTAGTTTCTGTATTTTATGTACCATGCCAAATCTCACTCGGATGTTTTGTTTTTCCAAAAATCTGGCTAGTTTATCAGCTACTCCCGCAGTACGTTATTTTAAGTTTTAATTGCTTGTTCAGTTTTAACGCTTTTGCTATTTATTTAGTTTTGGTATTCAGTGCCCTGGTGATTTGTGCATCATTGTAACTGTTCAACTGCAGCGCTTCTTTAACATGTTTAATTTCACTTCTCAGACTGTCACCATCTGACACTTTCTTAGCTCGATGTATGAGCATCTTGATGAGAAGATTTCTGTGCGGGGGGTATGATGTGACTGCATTCAGACAGGAGTCAGTGAGCAGTTTCTGTCGGTAAACGCTCTGTGTTATTTTACCATTCGGCCGCCCCAGAGCAGAATATCCATAAATCGGAGAGTTCTGTCAACTTACACTTCCATGGTGAACTGTATGGACGGGTTTTGCAAGTTGAGATGATTTAGAAATTCGTTAAGTGTGTCTTTGCACGTGGCCAGACCACCAATGTGTCATCCAGATATCTAAACAAATCGGAAGGTTTTAGTGTGCTTGAAGCTATTGCTTGAAAATCTTCCATGTACAAATTCACAATCACAGGAGACAGATGAGAGCCCATTGCTGCTCCTTCCTTTTGTTTATAGAAATCACTTTTCCACAAGAAATAGGCGTTCTTTAGACAATACTCAGCTAGTCGTGGGATATTTTTGGCTAAACCTGTGTTCGTTACCAGAGTATTGAGTAATTTAATTGACTTGTTGACCAGAACCCTTGTGAACAAAGAAGTCACATCAAGACTTACCAGAATATAATTATGGTTAAGTTTCATATCTTAAATTTCATTTACAAGATGTTCTGAGTTTTTAATGAAGAAGAGGTCCTACTGATGTAGGGCTGTATTTGCTTTGTTACATATTGTGCTAATTTGGATGTGGCAGAGTCTATTGTACTAACTATGGGTCTTAATCGGACATCAGGTTTGTGATTCTTTGGCAGCCCATAAAGTCTTGGTGGTTTGGGCCCCCTTGGTTTGATCAAGTATTGCTTTTCCTTGGGACTTTAATGACCTGGCAATGATTCCCGTTGTCTTACGTTCCAAGGTGTTGTGGGTTGGGTTTCATTTAATTTTAAGGCAGGTACCTTCATCGAGCAAATCTTTGATTTAATTATCATAATCCTCACCAGGTATCACAACAGTTGATCGGCCCTTATCAGCAGCAAGAATTTTGATGTTTTTATTTTCTCTCAATTCTCTTAATTAGTGTAGTGGCATTGAATCAGTAATCTAGCAGCATAGCGCTGGCTGCTGGCGGGGAAGGGAATCTGTGGCTTATAGCAACTCTGATGTCAGCAGGCCAAGTTGTACACCAGAGGGGGATCTAGGGGAAAGGTCACAGAAGGGGCACACCAAGAACCCTCTGGTAGGTTCTAGAAAGGGATCGTGGCCGGGAGCGGCGCCAGGCCATGCCGAGAGTGTAAGAAGGGCCCCTGTGCAGGCCCTCGGGGCTGTTGTATGGAGTGGGATCCCCGTCGTGCTGCTGAAGCCTTCACCATTCTTCTCGTCATTTTTCTCGTCGTCTTCACCATCCTTCTTGTCGTCGTCTCCGTCTTTACCATCTCGGGGCATCACCAGTCAGGCTGCCTACCAACTGTCCTGACTGAGTAACGTCGCTGATCATAGACGGACTTATTATAAAGTGATAACCCCGATGGCGCTGCTTAATAAAGAAGTGCCTCCAACTCTTATTCGTCTCCGAGTTAGTCACTACATTTGTATTATTTGCAGGAAACAAATACAGTAATTGATTCTTGAACGTGAATTCAATGGATATCATGGACATAATAATTGATTTTGATGGAAGAATTAATGTATCACATCTATGAATGACTGGAATAAGTGATTCCATTACAATTACAATAATCAAATTGTATCAGGTTAACAGTTATTCCATACAAACATTGGATCATCCAGACCTTTTAAAAAAGCACGACTATGTTTTGTCACCTCGCATTTTACCAACGAGTGAAAGTTAAATACTGTATATCTGGCCTTGTCATATGGGCTACTAATCACATGGGAGAATGGAGGTCTGAAGATGTGCTGTGGAAACATACTGTAGCCCCATACTTCGGCATAATTGCACTGCCAGCTGATACACTTATTTAATATTACGGTACTTGCCAAATTGCTTCGCACGCTCCGGTGGTCTGCTACACGGAACTTGCCACCTGCAATATTTACACTGCATCTAAAGTTTTAAGAAGCAGATGACTGCTATGTCCAGTGCATACATTAAATAAATATGCAATGATAATTCGCAGTAGCATAGGGTGGTTCGCATGGGCCCTGGTGCAAAGAATGAAAGGTAGGACCTCTGTTAAATTTTCCCTCTCTTCACAGCCTAGCAGCTGGGTTCCTATGGCCCGTGGACCGCGGTGAGTTGCACTATCTGTACACTCAATAACTATACCACTGGTCGTTCGGTATTATTGTTGGAATGCATTCTGTACAACTTGGGTAAAAGTACAATTATTACAGCTCCTGTCTGACTCAAGTGCGCATCATGTGATGGCCACGAGTTTATGTGCATGCACATTACATGACCATCTCAGCTGTTTGCCAAGTGGACGTGCGTTGATGGGTTTAGTGTTTGATTTTATTAATTATTTTGCTCCCTTGAAGCCACGTGGGCAGTCTGCCAAAGCGGCCACATGACAAACCACACAGTGTGTGAGCTCATGGGTTCAGAGTGTGGGGAGGGATCAGGGATATAAACGAGCGGCTCGCTTGTCCCAGCAGGAACAGGCGCTTCCAGCTGTGGCCCAGGGTCCTCTTGAGGTGGAGATGGAACCGCCAGTCCTCTACCTCGCTTCGCTGCTCCTGTGTCTCGGAGTGGTTGGAGCGCACTCTGGAAGACGTAAGTGGCCATAACAATATGTTATAATACCAAACCATGTGTTGTAGGCTTGCGTTGCAAAGTGGCCAGGAAATGACAGTGCAGCCACAGATTCTTGAATATATCTCTGGTGGAACTTGGTGTTACACCGTTTTATGTGTGGTGGGTTTTCTCCTGATACTACAGTTTTCTCATACATGCTAACCATGCATGGAATTGGCCAAAAATCGCAATGCAGTAAATTACTCTTGAGCCTCGGTGAGGATGTTTTGGTAGAAAAGGGCTTGATTATAACTTATATAGCGTCACTGGAGGAAATCTCTCCTGTTGAATGTGGCCATGCATTGAGCCCGTCTACAATGTGTACGTGTGTGCTCAGGTTATATTACATGTGGGCAATTACTGTACTTGTTTACACATAAAATATATAAAGTTTACATTCGTTTATCTAACCGCAATTTCTGACCAAAGGCCTGAATGATTGTAGCACTGAGTGACCAGCAACGAAGTATACTAATAGTATAGCAAACAAGAACTAACACACACATATAAATACATCGGTACATACATATGTGCACATGAGCACATGTAGTGCATACGGATGTGTGTACCCACATACAACTCATGCAGTCACATTCTTTAGTGAGTGGCCTTGAGCAAAAGGGAAATCATTAATTCGAGCAAAATCTTTTTGACCCCCATTAATTTTAAAACATTCATAATTCTTATATAACATCTCATGTATATGTAGTGACATCGGGGATGTGATCCGGAGTGTCCACAGAGAGGGCCCCAGGTGGGGGGGCTAGGGGGTGATCACGTGTCCGGGGAGAGCTCTCGAGAGGGATCGAGAGGTAGCTAGAACGCTCGAGAAAGCAGGCGGGGCCTGGGCGGAGCCAGCCCCGACCCGGGAGGATATATGGTGGGTCCCTGAGAGGGACCGGGGTCGCTTCGTTCTACAAGCTGGAAGCTCCACGTCCTACCAGCTGGAAGCTCTACGTCCTACAAGGCATCAACACGTGGCCGGGACCCGAGTGAGGGTCCAACCCTTCGTAGCTGTAACTCCTCCGTATAATGTAGTTAGCTGGGTGGTAAAGGGGCAGTTGCCCCTTTGTGTATTACGTGTTGATATAATAAATGTGTTGCCTCTAAAGAATAACGTCTGCGACTCAGTTGGACTCACTACATATATAAAGTTTCTACGTTATGATTTGTGAAGTACGTTATTTTTTGTTAGACTATCCTTGAAACCTTCAATTCATACTGCCAAATAGACATAGTGAAAAGGCTGTGATAATCCATTAAAATTGTGGTCTTGACTTCTGACATTTCCATCTATTCAGCAAAAATGACATTCAACAAGCGCGAACAAAGGCTGACAAACTTTTGTCATGATTTTTATAAAGATGCTCGCGTTTTGTGAACAGTTGCAGTTGCAGACAGAAGAGGGATGACGTCTTACCCCTCTGCGGCTCAATCCCCCTGGCTGATTAATCTGTCAAATAAGCTGTTCTCATAACTAATTTGATGCATCACTGCAGCCATAATAAGCGACAATCGGGTTATGCTATAACTGCAAGCAGTTGCCGAAGATATCCGGGTCGACATTAGCATTCTGATTTATTTCTCAATCGTGTGACCTGCGCGCTCAGGTTTTTCCGAGGTGGTGGGCCATCGTGGGCGATGGCGCGATCTGCCCGCCCATGCTTCACTTGGGGACGGCTGGATGTCAACCGACTCGAGCTACTGGGACGAGGATCGATACCCAATCCGCTCGGATAACGGCCGAGACCGGCATCGCTGCTGGCCGAGTTAATCTCTTTCACAGCTGCCCACCGCATCCAAATACAGAGCTGCAAAAATAAAAAAAAGTGTTTAGTCTCAAGAACTCGTATTGAAATTCAGAATGCATTGCAACAATGATGTGAGCTTTTATTCTGTAATTTATCTGTAATTTATTTATTTACAAGGTGACTGTGTTCAACAAAGAAATTCTAGCCTTTTTCAGTCCGCTGCTGGATGATTGCTTTCCCATGCTGTTTCAGTAATGGGGTTCTTTCTTTACATATCTCACTACTCTGGTCAGTGCGGGTTGGTGAAGTGGATGGTAGCACTGCTTCTGATACCACTCGCCACTGAAGGTAGCCGTGGCAGAGAATACAATTCAGGTCGCCGGGTAGTCCTCTTATTTGCAAGGTGACTACATATTTAGAGGATAATAGTAAAATAATGTAATGTGTCTACTGCAGAAATAGTTTGCAACCTTGCTTCATCACGTGTTAGTGTTTACAGTCCTTTGTTAATAAACTGCTAGATGCAGGCATCCCCACACCTTGTCGATCATGGGGGTTGTTTAACTATAACTTCGCCACACTTTCCAGTGCCTGTTGGTGAAAAATGGATGCTGCTTAATATCTGGCATCGATGTTTTATTCTTTTTTCTGTTCTGCTGGTGATTATTATCATGAATCACAATTGAGCTGCATACAGCTCACTCAATGCAACCCTGTATAAATTTTACATCTGAAAATCACGTTACAGTGGAGGTCACCTTTGCTTCTTTTGGTCTCAACATTTTCTGCGTAGATGTTGATTCTCACAAATTGTCGGGGTGGATATCAGCCCGCTCGTTTGAGTTGCCTCTCTTTTCCCCGCAGTGAGGAACGTTACCGTGAATGTGACAAACGATGGGCCGACTCTTGTGGGCTCCAAGCTGACTGTCAGCGTGACAATAATCTCCCCCTGGCACGGCGCCAACGGGACCGCATCATGGAACCACACGTACGACGGTACGGTAAAGCAACCAGTATTTCTGGGAGGCTCATCCGGGACGCAGTGTGAACTGACAGCCCCTCCATCCATCAGCCCCACCCTCTTACTTATACATAGCCACGTCCTTATATCGCTATCTCCGTTACTCCTTTTGACATTGCCCCTGCCTACTGCTCATAGGTCTTACCCATTTCTCTGACAACCCGACCCACTGCTCATCCATCGGACTCTTGCGATGGGAAGCTTACAATCATCCAGGTCTGTCTGAGTCGGCAGCCTGGAAAATATCAACTTAAGTCCTGCTTGTATGGTTACTATGAACCGCATGCAAGGGAAGAACAAACAAGCTCGTCAACATTTTTTCAACCATTGAACATCCGCCAAGATTCCGGTCCTCAAAACTGGCATTGTGGTGGCCCCATTCGCTGTTATTAAAAGAACACTGATAATATAATGAATAGTAGACATGTCCATTTTGTGTAGGTAGGGCTTGTTTTATATGACTTCCTGTTAATTTGGGCTGAAATATGAATATATGTAAGATGTACATGGGTTGGTGAAAAAGATTAGCAATTGAGATGCGAAATTTTGAACATTTCACTGACCCATTGTTTCCTTTATTTTGAACCCTCATGTTTGTGTACATATTGGTACATGATCCAATAACTATATTGGCAAAACATTGTATGCAATCAAATAATTATTGAAAAACAATATGTTTAATTCATATAACTATACAGTATGTGTATTATTCAGATCTTGCTCTCTAATTATTTTGACTCCTGCTTTGTGAGTTCACAACACACAGAATTTTGTGTCGTGCTTGCATAGAGAAACATGCAGTCATGTCCTTCAGTGAAGAAATCATTGTGCAGGGCTCATCGAGCCACAGATCGCACAGCTCATCCTCCCATGTGGTGTGCGCCTACAGGGCAGGCGGCGGCGCCCGGGGAATGGCCTCTGCAGGAGGGGGAGGAGGACCACGGTGAAGAGAATTGGTCCCACGACGATCAGCAGAGCAACACATTCCCCAACGGAAAGCCATTCCATCGTGATCGACATCGTCAGAGATACCTGCCTAGGCTTTACGTGTACATCTGGTCTACGGAAGGTACCTACGACCGTTAACATTATTATCATTGTCAGCCATTGCCTATTCCCCATGTCATCGCCATTTTTGTTTCGACTATTCGCACAGCCCTTCTTGTCTATCGACTGCTGGATGATGGCCTCCCCACACCATACGGACCATGGGGGTTATTTGATCATACTTAATCACGTTGCTCAGTGTGGGTTTATGCAAGCGGGGAGCAGAGACAGAGGGACATATAATACAGTACAACAATGGATTTTGCTGAAGTGCCTTCAGTTGAAAAATCCAGAATTTAAGCTTTCGTGACTGCAGGAATTACTATACTCATTGGTTCTTTCGGTAAAGTCACGTATCTCATTATGTTTCTAAGGTTTGTTGAGTTCGCGTCTCCCATCTTCTTGCTGTATTTGCCTCCATGCAGTTTGCCGTTCTCTATGTGCTCTGTGTGTGATGTCCCTCTGTGTGCTCCCTCGCTATGTGTTTTGCCCCATTTTCACCGGATGATGAGCGCTTGTGTTGTGTTCGAAACGTCGTGCTTTATTTAAATTTTCTTTTATTTCTACATGCGTGACTTTACCGAATTAACCAATGAGTATGCCTTCAGTTGACTACCAACGTATCACCACAACCTAAAACATCCTGTTTTATGCATGTTGGTACCCATCCAGGAATTCTCTAAGCTCAGTTGTGCTTGGCTTCTGACATCTGATGAGTTCCGAGTGGTTTGGTGATAGACACCACCCCCAAACCCCCACTAAGAAAATGAAGCGGAGGAGTGTGTTTGTTTTTTCCCCAGGCAAGTACTATACAATGGTGAACGGGAACAGCTCTAATGTGACAATAGACACCACGGACATCCCCGTCGGCACCCACAACATCAGCCTGCTCCTGTACCGCGGCGGGCAGAGCGCAAAGCAGCTGTGCGCCATCGCCAACGTTACTGACAACTACACCGTGACTGGTGGGTTTACCGTGGCACTGGCTCACTAGTGCTAGGCGACATTAACCATACGACGTTGATTCCGGCGTACAGGTGGTATGTGTAGAAAGACCATGAGCATTAGGGTGTGTGTGTGTTCCATGGCCTGGCACAAGCGTCGTGGTGACGTCACCGCCACTTAGTGGCGAATGGCGGTTGTTGTTGTTGTTCCATGTACCTTTATTGGACCGGGAGCTTGATAGGGCTCACCTTGCCGATGACCTAAGCTGACCCCAACCGCTAGACTGACGAAGAGTGGTCTGGACATCAGCTGAATCGATGCTCAAGATCCAGTCGTTGCACGACATTGGTGTCATTGAAATATACTCAGTCCATGGTCACCCAGCTCTATAACTCACTGGGAGGTGTTCATTATACGTTTGGAGCGATTGTGATGTTTGGTCAATTTCTGTTGAAATGGATGGAAACAGAATTGTGTGGAGTAAACTCATGAATAACACTCACACTCTGTCCAAGCAGGTGGGCCTCTCACGTCCATTATTCCTGCACGATCCACTGACCCCTTCTCCATGTCGCTCGACTGCCAGACCACGCCACAATCCCCATATTTTGATGACTTTACCGAAAAAATGACTTTACCGAAAAAACTAAGAATATGAATCCCCATATTGTTTAATTCCAGATTCACTCGGAAAGAGACAAAGGCACAACCCTGAAAAGCTTGCTCACACCAATGATTAAGGACGGACCTCTAAACTTCCACACTGACTAGACGTATTAGAAGAGGTGTGGGTACCCACACTTTTCCCCACCACACGTGACCTGCCGATTAACTTTGGTGTACCCATTTATACTGCAGGGCGATTTAATAAATATACCCATTGTTTAAACTGCCGTGCCAGGAGACCGGACACCACCCACTCTTAAAGTTTAATTCCAGACAGTCCAGTCGCCAGTACCAGATGTTGTTCCCCCTCTGACTTCACCGCAGACTCCGTGCCGCTCAGCGTGAAGATCTCCCAGATGGGCGATCGCAACAGCTCAGACCTGATCTTCCTGGAGAACGCACCAGTGTCCTTCACCGCCACACCCCACGACCCCAGCGGCTACCTGGGCAACGCCACCCTCACCTACGCCTGGAACTTTGGCGATGGCACGGAGGTGGTGGTGGGACCTAATGCCTCCGTCAACCACACATACTCAGCTATAGGCTCATTCAACATGTCTCTGTGGCTGAGGGCCGTCATACCGACACCATGCGGGACCCTCAACGCCACTGTGCTACCGCCTGACGAGACGGGCCCCTGGGACGGACCCACTGGTAGCTGCAATTTCTTCTTTTTGTTGTTTAATCCTTCATGGTATTTTCCCTTCAGTATATTCCCCCCCCCCCCCCCCCCCCACTTAAGAATAATCTGCAGTACTAAGAAGGGATTGTACAGTCAATCTCAAACACGTGCATGGGAGTGTTTCTCCAAAATGTCGCTGATGGAAAAAACTGAATTTATATTCTTTGGTTCTTTCGGTAAAGTCACGTAGATTTAAAATAAAAAAATAAAAAACCCACGACGTTTCGATCGCAACACAAGCGGTCGTCATCAGGGAAAGGGAGGGTTAGCATCCAAAGGCAAACTACATATAAAGGTTTACAGATGGGCGTAGTCCAAGTTTGTCAGCAGCATGGGCGGGGCAGCTAATGTTAATGTAGGAGAAGACAACGGGGGAGAGAGGGGGTAGAGATAGGAGGAGAGAGACGGTGTAGAGATAGTGAGAAAGATAGGGGGTATAGATAGGGGGAGAGAGAGGGGGAGAGATAATGGGAGAGAGAGGGGGTAGAGATAGGAGGAGAGAGAAGGGGTAGAGATAGGGGAGAGAGAGGGGTTAGAGATGGGGGGGTATTGCACCTCGCTCCACACACCCACACTGCTAACTGTGGAGGTTGACAAGAAAACACTGATTGCTGAGTTTAAAACCGTCCTCTCGGTTGAAATTGTGTCTGTATATATGGATGGCTTCATGACTGAAGCTTTGTTGATAGCCAGTAGGCTTGCCAGCCACATTAAAATAATGATCAGCCACGGCAGAAGTATTGGTCCTACCGTATTTCAAATCTGCCTTATGTTCACGAACACGGTCCGAGACATGTCGCTTAGTTTCCGCAATGTAACTGCTGCCGCAGATACAGCTTAGTTTGTAGACGCCGGGATATTGCATGTCAGGAATTTTGTCCTTCACAGATTGGATCAGATCACGAATTTTATGTACTGTGTTAAATCGGACCTGGATCTTGTGTTTGTTCATGATTTTGGAAATATTTTTGGTTACCCCTGCTATGTATGGCAAGGTGGTGGTTTTGATTGGATCTTCAGATGGCTCCTTCCTCACGGTTGGGGTGATGGCTTAGCGGATTGTGTAGTCAGAATATCCATTCGCCTTGAGAGCTTGGTGTACGTGTTTGAGTTCACTGGTTAGGTGTTCATGGTCGGAGATATATTGAGCTCTTTGGTGTAGCGTTTTGATGAGGCAATTCTTCTGGGATGGATTGTGGTGGGAATCAGGTTTTAGTTAGGCGTCAGTATGGGCTACTTTCCTGTAGACAGAATGGCTCATTGAGCCATCTGGTCTCTTTTTGATTAGGACATCCAACAAAGGTAGCATGCCATCCTTTTCTGCCTCCATGGTGAATTTGATGGCTGGGTGTATGGAATTGATGTGGTTGAGGAATTGGTTGAGAGCCAGTCGGCCATGTGGCCAGATGACAAACGTGTCATTCACATACCTCTTCCACAAGGACGGGCATAAAGTGGATACCTGGATGGCGTCCATCTCAACATTTTCTGTGAAAATATTGGCTACAACCAGAGATGAGGCAGAACCCATTGAGGTGCCTTCAGTTTGTTTGTAGAATGTTCCATTCAAGTTGAAGTATGTATTGGTGAGGCAGTGTCTCACCAGGGCCGTTACATCAGCATTCAATCCTGGTTGAACCAAATCTTCAATGATTGCAATGGTATCGGGCACAGGAACTTTGGTGAACAAAGAAACTACATCGAAACCTATATTCTTAGCTATTTCGGTAAAGTCATGTTGAAGGGAAACAATAAAATAATTAAATATATATAAAACAATTAAAAACAATAAAAATTCTCACGACGTTTCGACCGAAACACAAACGGTCATCATCAACGTTGGTTTTTTCACACCTGATGATGACCGTTTGTGTTATGGTCGAAACGTCGTGAGAATTTGTATTGTTTTTTATTGTAGCAGTTACATTGGGGAAGCTAAGCGACATGTCTCAAGCCGTGTTCGTGAATATAAGGCAGATTTGAAACACGGTAGGACCAATACTTCTGCCATGGCTGATCATTATTTTAATGCGGCTGGCTCACATGAAATGTATTTCTCTAAGGCGATGGTACTTTGCAAACTTACTGGCTATCAACAAATATTCGTTCATGAAGCCATCCATATATACAGACACAGACACAATTTCATCCAAGAGGACTGTTTTAAACTCAGCAATAATTGAAAAGATGTCATCAACCACTTTGGGTATGACTTGATTTGTGTTTTCTTGTCAACCTCCACCGTCAGCAGTGTGGGTGTGTGGAGCGAAGTGCAATGCCCCCTATATCTACCCCCCTCTCTCCCCCTATCTCTACCCCCTCTCTCTCCCCCTATCTCTACCCCCTCTCTCTCCCTCTTTCTCTCCCCCTATCTCTACCCCTATCTCTACCACCTCTCTCTCCCCATCTCTACCCCCTCTCTCTACCCCCTCTCTCTACCCCCTCTCTCTCCCCATATTTTGAACCCCTCTCTCTCCCCCGTTGTCTTCTCCTACATTAACATTAGCTGCCCTGCCCATGCTGCTGACAAACTTGGACTACGCCCATCTGTAAACCTTTATAAATAGTTTGCCTTTGGAGGCTAACCCCCCTTTTCCTGATGACGGCCGCTTGTGTTGCGATCAAAACATCGTGGGTTTTTTAAATTTTCTATCTACGTGACTTTAGTAAAAGAACCAAAGAATATTAATACCTGCAGTCACGAAAGTTTTAAGTCAAAACTGATTTTGTAATTATTGTTGCAAATGATTTGTTTATCAAACTCACTTAACACAAACTCACAGGCTCTATCACAAGCATGCCATCGCCTTTGCTTTATGCACTCAAGTAGAACTTAAAATCATACATGTAATTGATGTGCATGTGATTTAACTTAGTTTGGAGGTAAAACATTGTAAAAAATAATAAGTGGCACAACAAAACATCTCATTCATACTACGATGCATGTACAACCTTTTTGTCATTCAACTGATGGAAGGCCTCCCCACACCATACAGGTGATATTGGTTATTTTACATTACTTTACCATGCTGGTCAGTGTGGGTTGGTGAAGGTGGAGTCCACAGACTGAGCACAGAACAGAAAAACAATTAATTTGATTTACTTATTTATATGTATGGTGGTCATCCATAGAAACACTATTCAGGTTCAAATATGCTAAGCTTGTGAGATCTGTCAAGATCAGGGGCATTCTGGTTGATTTGGTCATATGCACACGACAGAACATAATACGCGTGGCGCGTTAAGCTTCTCTGCGATTAACCCCACAGGCCAGCCAGGTGGTGCAGGGGCGACTGTGCCGGATGGAGCTGACCTGCAACAGTCATCCACGAAATCACCCCCTACCCCGTCCCCAACCTGCCAGCTCGTGCGCTATGGCAGCTTCACCGCCAACGTCACCATCGTGGGTCAGTCTCTCCGTCACACATCGCTGGCCTTCAGCGAGGTGTGGACACACAGAATTATCTATGGTGAACTGCAGGTGCGGAGTAAAATGAAAACGAAGAGACCAATTCTCTGCCCGACGTGTTCCTACTCAATGCAAGGATGACACTCTTTCCATGCATTTGGTAATATGGTGAATGATGTATTATTCGTAGCCAGATTATACTGGTTGTGGATTGACTGTGTTTGCAAAAACAATTTTAAAAATATGTTTACACACATGTCGTTTCAATTATTAGCTGCTCGTCACTTGTTGAAGGTCAATTATTTAGTGCTCACGTGACTGCAAACACTTTGGCACTTACACCGATTACTTTAATAAAACAATCAAAACTGACGACATTCTACTTCTGCACCCCCAATCTACATGGGTAACTAAATATGGTTTTATAGCCTACGATATATACATGTTGCATTGTATTTTTCATAATGCATCTTCCATAGTCACTGGGTAGGGTAGGTATTGGTCACGGAACCAGTTGGCTGTTCTTGAATCCTCTCGCTGGATCTGGACTCTGTTCCAAACTCAGTCTGGCGTTCACAACAGCACAACCATGATCACTCGGCGGCACGGTCATTATCACTGTGACCTACGTGATTTTGTTTGTGCTTTTTATTTACTTTAATTTTTCAAAACTGTACGATGTATTTCACGAGTATGCATATGCTCTTTTTCAATCTCATTTCTGTTTTCTATATTTTTCTCAATATATGTATCTGTGTACACTCTACTATGATACATTTACGCTTTTCAAATGTTATTTCGTTCTACTTGTTCGTTCATCTTTTCCTGCCGACTCAAATGTGACCAAAAGTGGTCCTCAACATGAAGGAATGAATACATCAATCCTCGTGAAGCATGGGTACATTTTTGCTTCACGGGTTTGGTAGTTAGTGTTTCTTAATGCTGTTGTGCAAGCGACGGCTTTTTTGCTCGTGCTTGTGGATTCATGTACTCTGCATCAGAAGGGATATCGAGTGTCGCCGTCGTGGCGCTAATGCCGTCGGTGGTCACGATGCAGGGCGGTGGTGCCGTGGATTTTATGGTCACGTGCAGTGGCAGGTGAGCCCAGCAGTCCAGAGATGGACATACACGGTGTGGTCATGCAGTGTAAACACAGCCTACAATATTAAGGTGGATGTAATTGCTCTCTCTTTTACCATTCGTGTGTTTAAAAAAAAAAACCGTACAGCTCATTGTAAATCCACTTCTGGATGAGGGTATCCTCATGCCATGTAGGGGGTTATTTGAATAGGCTGTTTAAAAAAGATGGACCCAATTTAAAAGCAGTATATTTCACGATGGCAACATGTTACAATTACACAAAAAGCTACACACGGTTTAATGAGTTATTAAGTTTTACTAACCATTTTGTGAATGCTCTATGTGCCCTCCACCTGCTGTACGGACAACACCGAGACGATAGTTGAATTCGTCCCAAACGCCTCTCTTCTCACGTTTTCCTCTGAGGATCGTGGTTGCCCTGTGCTCTTCCCCTTACATAAACAGCAGCCCGTTTCCTCAAATTGTCGGTACCAACGACGAATGTTCTTTGACATTGGCGGATCAATGCCGAAACGCCGTTGAGACGCACGCTGCGCCGCAATTACGGATTCAGTCTTGCTGAACTGCAGAACGCAAAACGCCCCTTGTGTTGCGGGGTCACCATCTAGAGAATGACTGAGGCTAGGGGCTGTTTGTGCGCTGGGAGAGGCATCTCGCGGTAATCATTTTAAACTCTATGCCCCGCCCTCTCTATGCCCAGCCCTCTCTATGCCCCGCCCTCTCTATGCCCCGCCCTCTCTATGCCCAGCCCTCTCTATGCCCCGCCCTCTCTATGCCCCGCCCTTTCAAGTGGTAAGAGTTTCATTCGTGGGCAGTTCGTGATTGCAGAGATATAGCGATTTCATATAGGGTCCATCTCTTTTAAACACCCTGTATACCTCATCTCCCTGGTCAGTGTGGTTTGGTGAAAGCGACGTCACCCCAATGCAGCCTGAAACAGACTGCTGTATAAAATTAGAACAAATAGCGTCTTCTGCACTGCCATTGCCTTGACCTGTCTTAGAATATCCAATGTTGTGAATTTATCTATTTACATATACATTCGCTTCATTTCTACCTAAGTAAATAGCAGCACCGGCACGCAGTTAAAACACATCAGTAAATGCTTTGTAATACTTACGTGTGTTTTATATGAATTAAAAACTGTTGTTGTTTTGAAATATTGAATTAAATTACTGGAGTTTTTATTTATTTATTCTCCTCATCATCAGGGATTATTGCCGCTTAGACATGAGCATCTTGCGCGCAGTGTTGTATGCAGCTAGTTCGAAATGGGACGTGAGTCATGTGCTGGCAGAAGGTAATTTCCTCCAATCTTTTTTTGTTTGAAAGCAAACTGGAGGAAAATACTAAACTTGTAACAATTCACCGCCCTAATAACTCAATGATTCATCAAAACGGTAGGGTCACGATGCGATTGAAGAATCGAATTTGTTTTATGTCATGCTTTACAACCTTCTTGGTATTATTTTTCTGTTTTTTTCTGTCGCGTTTATACGTTTTTTACCCTCAATTTGCCTAAAATAACATTGGGATACCATTTGCATAAATGGTAAACAATCAATTCTCACACGCACGAATTGATACATGTTATATCCAGATATAAATACATATTTTATACAAATATGTATGCTCACAAAAATACCATATGTTTATTTTTTGACAATTGGTATGACTGTTGACACTCACAAGATCATCTTGTTGGCGATAACTCTTGTCTCATTAGGGTAACCCTGAGCTGGTGTCATTAGCATCAACCCTTGTCTCATCTCGCTAGCGTAACCCATGAATAATCTCTTTTACGATAACACTCGTCTCTTTTACATAACCCTCGTCTCATCTTGCTAGTGAGGTAACCCTCGTCCCACCTCGTTGTTTGCGTAATCCACGACTCATCTCGAAAGTGTATAATTCTCATCTCATATAACGTAACCCCCATTTCATTTCGTTAGCGTAACCCTCGCCCATGTCCCCTGCGTCGTGACGCACGCAGTTTGCCGAGCGAAGTGTGCACCGTGGTATCGGACGAGGCGTGCGTGTGGCCCGTCAGCGGGTCGTGCCGCCCACTGGTGCTGGCTGCCGGAGACCCGTGCTCCCTGACCCTGCGCGAGCAGTTCAACGGGTCGGGAATTTTCTGCCTCAACGTCTCACTGGCTGATGCAGTGAGCCTGGCCGTCGTTAGTACCTACGTCGACTTCAACGCAGGTGAACATATCTAGACGTGTTTTTTTTTTAAATATATATATTTAAATAGGTCAAAAGTCATACCTCATACACAGTTTAGTATCAATACCGTGGGTTCCTGGTTCCTTCCGGTAAAACGTATCCATTATTCGCCTCTCTACAATGTAAATCACCCAAGTAAGTGGTGTGACTGAAAGATTGACTCACATACATACACACAAATGAAAGTCTTATTTTTTTCAATAGCATGTCAAGCTATAAAATGAAGCAATGCCGTCTTTATTAAAGATATAATTGTGACCAGAAGCTCATGTTGCAGACAATTAAATTAACCTTGAACGTATTTACTGATACTTTCAGAGTCTACATCAGCAAAGTTTTTGGGACCAGCCGTTTTTTTTGCAGGCATCGTTCCTCTTGTACTCCTAGGACTGCTCTTTTACAAGTAAGTGCTTCTACAACTCCAATAATTTACTAAAGATCAAACGTTTTTAAAAACACACTTTTAAGGTACACACAAATAGAGTCAAAACCAGATTTGTTGTTACAGATACAACTTTTAACGAATCAGATGGCTCAGAGCTCAGAGCCCATCGCTGGCCTCGCTGAGATCTTGGTGGGTTTCGAATCCAAGCAGCTGCCTGTGATTTAACTGGATTCTCAAATGTAGTGAGTTGATGGTCTCAGCTAGTCACCAATGACAGCACACAATTCTCTACAAATTTGGTTATGCACTTAATAATGTTAATTCCAGCCATGAGAATTTAACTCATCGGTGTGATTGTCACGCGAGGTACATTAAAGGTCTGCCCCCTGCTGTGTGGACACGAGGGTATTTCAAGGGATTTCAGAGGTAGCTCTCTGATATCCATTTCCGCGGGTTGTTTTCTTTGTGTCAATTGTCTGCCCTCTCTCCTTTATTGCTGGAAACAGGAAGTATCGCCAGTACACTCCCGTGGCTCCACCGGGAATGGAGCTAAGCCACGGCCCAGGGACTCTCGACTGGGTGAAATTCATCAGGAATAAGTCTGGCGAGAAGAACCCTTTGCTCAATGCTCAGAAGCAGCCAATTGTTGCTCACCTGGTCTGAGCCATCGCACCAAAGGAACATAAATACACACAGCTACCAGCGCCTGCACAAGTTAGAGGCTAACTCTCTTTGGGAACCTACACTATTTAGCCTGCATCTTCATGAATCATAATTATGTATCACTGCATGGATCATATCCACACTAATCCGGCACTAGAAAGGAATATGTTTGACCTAACAACACTCTGTTCATCATTTTAGCATACGCATTTTATTATCAGATAACGTGACAGTGTGTTGTAATGTGTGGCCAGCCAAAAGCTATTTGAAAGTGCTATTTGACCCTCATGAAGTAAAACGTTCCCTTCCCCTGCTGTGCACGAATGGTGCGTGCTATACTCTGCTAGCTTTGGCAGCTTTTTTCATCGTCTCGCCATTGCTTAGAGTCTCTTGTGTACGATTGGTCCGTGTTCATGCTACTTTTGTTTCCCAAATGAAGTGGAACGATACATATTTAAGTACATAAAACTTAACACATTCAATAACCTTGCATTGTATTAAGAAAATATATAATAGATGGCGTTTTAAGTAATGTCTCTTCATAGTACATCATAAATATTGGGATGATTATGAAAATATTTTGATAAATCTATTCAGTAATATTGTAGATTTTTAAAAAATTATTTAGTCTTTCATTAATAGGTGTCTAGCGAACAATCACAACCAGCGAATCACTTCCACTTCACTAGTTTTGCTTGCTCTCCAGAACAGGACACACCCTCTCAAAATTGAACTGGCATATTGGAAAGGGGAGGATATGTTTACTAACTTTTATCTGTTCATCCTATTTTCCGTTACTGAATTATACATAACAAACATGATTCAGTCGATCAAGAGTAGCATGATTCTCCATTAATAAGAACACCAATGATTTTAATATTCAATTTAATGTATAGTTTTTCTTATTTACACAAACCGGTTTTGAGTCATGTTGTCAGTGGGGACCGTTTAAACTCTGGATGATCGCTCCACCTCGGAGGAGCCAAGTGTGAAAAAGGTGCGGACAGCAATTCGCCAATTGTAATTGGCTTTCCACCAAGACATGAATCACACCCACGGTTTTCAATTTAAAAATGCTTTGCATATGCCTCTCTTTAGCTTGTTGAGGACACCAGAGATACATTTTCAATTCATTATCCACTTATGTTAACTTGTATAGTGATTACGTGGGATGCGTGTGGTTTTGCCGTCACATTTGCGCAGGTTATCTATGTAATTATCAATTACCGCTGGGTGTAAAGCCTATGAAGTAAGCTTAATGATTATTTTGCATGCTTTCATGATTTCAGAATAAAGCTATTGATGTAGAATACATACATATTTAACAAGTTGCTTTCTTAATGTATCTCTACGTGAGTCCATTAAAGGCCTTAATTTGCATCTTCTGAATGAATGACTGTGTTTTCATCAGACTTTAAAGTCACTAAAAGTAGTTTTATATGAACTGAGAACAATATGATACACGATATATTAACGCGGTGTAATTGAGTGGCGCAGTGCTTAAAGCACAATACTACAAGGCCCAGCGTCCTCAGTTCGATACCCGGTCACGACTCACGTCAGTGGTGATATCTGAACCTGACCTGTCCCCCCCCTCCCCCAATTCGTAGCGAGTGGTTGTTTAACCATGATGAAGCATGGTTAAACAATCACGCACGTTGGGAGGCATTCATGCAGCATGCACATTGCAGTTACTATTTAAGCCATTTCTATTTATGCAGTGCGATGTGGATTAAAGAACACGGGAAGAACACGCCATGGCTAAAAGGGATGATGGCCGCTGGTCAAAATAATAACAGGGTGGCAGCCAAGGATTGAAAGGCGTCCGAGAGGATGTGAGCAGAATGTGTGCGAGCCGTCGGCGTTTTGCGTTTTGTCTCGCTTGCCCGAGCTGCTCTGTGAGAATCCGCGAGAGAGACCGCGCTCACCGCGAGCACGAGCGTGGTCATGAGCCCAGCATCGTGACCGTGGGACCGTGTGACTCGTCAACCCTGGTTGGATCGGACTCATGTGATGTGAGTGCGTTTTCTTTCTTCATTCAAAGTACTTTTTTAGTTGTAACAGACTGCCAGTCACAACACCAACAACCATCATCATCAATCAGCCATGATTGATTCACTGCTGGATGAGTACATCCCTCAGCCGTCACCACCCTTAACGGTCCATCAAGGCAACAACCCAACCAACATTTCCAAACGAGTCAATGTCTTCTCTGTCTCTGCGTGTAACCTATGGGAAAACGGTCGGTCAGATAACCAAAGCTGCAAGCTATATAGCTACTACAGCCGAGGCACGTGCTGTAGACCTACAGGGCCGTCACGTGCTCAGTGACAGATTCAAGTGCTGTGCAGTGGTCCTAAACATGTAACGGATGTGGCCTTAACATGAGCAGCGGTGGCGCAGTGGTTAGCAGACTGCGCTACGAACGTGACCACCAGAGTTCGATTTCCAGTCACGGATCACGGATAACATCAGCAGTGACTAATATATGAGCCGGTCTTGGGTCTCCCCTATAGGTTGACTCAGTCTTAAATGAGTGCCTGGTGCGATTTGTAAACATACGCATTGTGGAGACAAAGGCGGTCAGGCGTGGTTCCTAACTGCATCGTCCTTATTGGTGCTCGCTTAACAGCACGTCCCCCAGCGGCTTGCATGGATGCACAGGGATCTTTGTTTTGGTGAATTATATAACTTAAAAAAAGTATTATGTTGCATGATAATGTTTGAGACATCGTCCACCATGCAGTTTCCTTCACCAAGGTCTGACTTTCCAACAAAAACACCCATCTCAACGTGTCCTTGCGTCCCATTAAATGACAGTGTGGTTGCATTGAGAAGTAAGCGAAGTTACTCAACTCATACGAATGAATAAAACATTTAAATATAAAATTAATATTTTTGCAGCTCTGACGATATGAAAACTTTGTAACGGTTTTACTTTTAATACAAATTAAGTGAGCAAAACATTTATTAAGAAAAGGCCATGACATGAATCTTAACTGAATATCAATTATAAAATAGTAGAAAGTGTGAAATATGTGTTACGAATTAATAGGGATAAAAAAGATAGACGATGCAAGTGTTTAATTGTTGAAATCAAACACCGAGCACGGGATTTGATAAACACATTATCTTGGCACATCACCGGTTGTGAATGCTGAACATTCGTGTAGTCCCTGACAGACTAGTTTCACTGGATCGGGGTCATGATACGAGATCTGAATAGTTTCAGGAGATATCAATGTAGTTACGCGGGAGCTGCATCAGAATTTCAAGTTGGCGCACACTAAAGACATTAGTAGTACAATGGTAGGGAGAGAGCGAAGAAGGGAGCTGTGCGTGTGTGTATGGGGTTGACATGTGTATGGGGCTGAATGTCACAAATGTGACTCCATGGCGACACAAGGTGGAGGTCTGGGCCGCAATGGAGAAGAATTTGGAACGAGAACGTTGAATCTGAGTGATGAGAGTCGAGCTGCTTTCACTTGCGAGCTGAAACGCACGCAGCCCACGCACCACACTCCCATCATCCCCGGCAGTGACACATGCTCTGCACATTCACAGCAACAGCACTTAGCACTCGTATAGCCCACACTCACACAGCTGGCTGCTCGGAGTGAGTGCTGTTCGCGAGCACCTATGAAGGCCAACACGGTGTAAGAAGAGGTGGTACGCCCATAACCGTTCCTGGCCGCCTTTGTCTCTCCGGTGCTGATATTTACACGCCACGCACGCAAATGAAGCTGCATCGACTTATAAGTGTAAGCCCAGGACCGGTTCAGATATCACTCGCCATTGATGTTAACTGTGGCTGGGAATTGAACTCAGATGGCCGAATTCTTAACGCAGTGTGCTAACCACGCAGTGCGCCACCACCTCACATTCACAATACAACAACAAATACACACGCCGGCGTGAGATCAGCATCGTTTCATGGGTCGGTTTAATTCGAAGAGTTCGGCTCTGTTCATAATTTTGCATTAAGGATCTGTAAATAGTGATCGGCTCATTTGTATACGGTACTATAATTGAAGATAATAGGGTAGAGTTGGTTGGCCAAAACACTAATTGCACAATCAATTCAAAAGCGTCCCTAATTATTTTTCTTTATGAGTATACAGTCACTGTTGCCTTGCACATGACTCATCGCTTCACACACACACACGCGTGGGCTACACCGTGGTGTGATCACCTGTGTATTAAACAATGGGGATATCTACAGGTCTTTTGGGAGCGTTTTGTTTCACACAGGAAACACTGCCCATACTGCCCACTTGGTTTCACAATTAATGCCGTATTTGTTTTTTCCCCAGGACGCGTGCTGTGTCCGTCAACACCCAAATCCTTGGAAAGTTGCTTTGATGATCTGTCTATAATTGGAGGGAGGGGGGCACACAGATGGTTGGCGCTGGTGTTCATAAGGGGGAGGGCACAGGCCTCTTTTATACCAACCACATAAAACACTGCCTGGTGCTCGCCTTGAACTTCCTACTCTAGCACCTTCACCCCCCGCCCCTCCCCGTTAAAGGACATTGCGCAATTTCCGCCACTAGAGGTCGCTACGGGTCACGGGTTCCAATGTGCCAAATGCACTGGAAATCACCGGACGCAAACGTTTCCACAGCGTAGGTTTATTTTAGGCCAAGGCTGCGTCATTTTGTATCACACAGGGACAGTTTCCATCAGGGGGTCCCCTGGGCTACAATGTATACATTTTGGAATCATTGAGATGAGATTTGTTTTAAGGCACTTGAGATGCTGAGGCATTTAAGCGCCCATGAAATCAAAATCCAATATTTACTCATAACCGTGACCGAATTTTAGCTGCTTTCTATGGATGTTAAGTGCAATACTCCACATGAGGCAAATTACTTGGTTCACTGGTGATGTGGATAATATATTTGAGGTATTAAGTAAAGTAAAGTCAATTTTATTTTAATATAAATACGAGGTGCCTTTCCGGCGCAAATCTGCAACTCAAGGCGCCAGACTTAAGGCAAGATAGAACCTGAAGCTGACCTTCCCCTCAGTAAGTTAAACCAATCAACTACTGGGCCGTAACTTTTGGGAGCCCAAATTGAAAACATTATTTTAGCAGATTTTTATTTCGAAGAATAGATTCCACATTTGGGCAAAATGCCAGATGTCCATCCATTCTATAACATCATTATAATCTGCTTGCCATCAGTCATCGAATATATCAAAATTGATACAGTGAATGCAGTCTATTAATACAGCAACTTAATTTCACAATTTGCACCTTTATGAACAAAAACATCTCTAAATTGGCATTGAAAGTTTGAAAGCCACAAACAGTTGCATAGATCAAATCGTGATGATGCCACAAAGTTTGCATCAATTCCCACTCAGTGAGGACATTGTGGGGGCTGATGCTCCCCTCCTCCTCTCCCCCTTCCTCCTCTTCTCCTTCCCGCCGGGTTGCCGCCGATCGAGTGATCGGCCTCCCCGCATCCGCGTCCTCTCTGTGGGGCGTGACTCGTGGCTGGCTCTCCACCGCCTCATGTTATCCTGACTCCCTCCCCCGCGTAAACCACCACTCACGCTGCGGTGGCTGCGTGCACGCGCACAACCGTACCTGCGGCTCACCACGTGCACGCACAGCCACCCGTACCTGCTGCGGTGGCTGCGTGCACGTTCATGCCTGCTCGGGTTGCTTGCCCCAAGGTTCCTCACGGACGTGCTGGTAGTCGGAGGGACGAGGGTCCAGGAGGTCTCTGCCTGGGTCGTGTCCTAGCCGCGCTCGCCAGCGTCACTCGGACGCTCGACTGGCTTGAAGTCTGGCTGGTTCCCTCGCTGACTCGAGGAGAAGAGACTTACGTTTTTCCTCCTCTCCCCTTTTATCCCCTCCCAATTCCAAAATTTCTGGCACAATTGGGTTGCCCTCCCAGCCAATCGGGTGCTTACCCGTGGCCTAATCCCCTCATTTCAAAGGACCAGGGTGGCATTGTATTGCGCAGCCAATCGGGTGCCTACCTTTTGATGTTTTTCAATCGGTGCCCCGCATGGAGAGCCACTGAGTCTGCGGCTGCTGCCGCTTTGCTCTAGCCCGCTTGCCGGGTGTTCTGCTCTCCCCACGGCTCTATTCCCCGTGTTCGGTGTGTGCTCATCGCGGTTGCTCAGTGAGCTCGCCGTGGCCATACAATTTTAAGTTAATCCACGGGGCCGCAATGCAATTCGGCCTGGGGGGGGGGTCGGCCAATCTCCTGGCACTGGGAAACCGTGAGACATCCCCACGAGGGAGCTCTTGGGTAAAAACCCAGGGTGCCAAGTGACCACCCCCCCCACGAAGCCCTACGTGGGGGTATGTGTGTGTGTTCGTGTGGGGGGTTGCGAGGGGATAGCAGCGCCGGCAGAGTTGCTCTGTTGCTGCGTCACCACAACATATCTCGTTCTACTGTATGCAAGTAATTAGTGCATTCCTTTAACATTTCAGACAAGTAATAAAAAGTCCTGTAGCCCAAAACTTACATTAAAAATGTAGTGACTGTCAGCATCACTACTGGATGCACACCCATACTCACACGTGTGACGTCACTATGCCGGGGAGCGTCACTGCCACACAGGCCTGCACACATACATATGACGTCATCCTGTCCGGAGGCGAGAATGACGTCAGGGCCGGTTCAGGCATCGGAGCGGCCACGGGTGTGGTGTGAGGACATGGCACTCTGTGTGACCCCGGCTGGACACGTGACCGGATCCCAGTAGGGGCCGGGGGCCCGGGGGACACCTTGGGGGGGCACGTTGACAGCAGGGAGGCTTCGAGACGGTTCTCGTAGAGAGGCGTGTTCGGGGTGGGGCCCGGGCACGCCGAGGCCCATTTAAGCAGCCTCTTCACAGGGTTCGAGGCTGCTCGTGTCAAGAATGAAGAGGCATCGTGAAGACGTCCCAAGAGAGTCAAGCCTCCAGTCAGCGTGACCAGCCAGTAGCCCACCTGGCTGGGTCATGCCAGTTGCATCCGAGAGTCTGTGTTAGAGAGGGAGATGGTGTGTGTTAGATAGAGTAGGTCGGTGGACACCACCCTATGTTAACAGTGTTAAGAAAATAATAAATAGTGTTGCCTCCCAAGACGTCGTGTGTGCGCCTAATTACAAATATATGAAAATCAAACGTTTTGATTATTTATATATGAGTAGGGAGTTTGTACAAAGCTGCTCAGGGTCGACTTGGCCAAGCATCCCTTTAGGGTAGGTAGAATTACTCCTATTTTGGCAGTCAATAGTGATGTTCCCTTTCCATAAGAATGGGGAATTTACACCACTGGCTGAGGGCCACCAGTGGAGATGAGTTCTGCCCCATGTTCGTTCGGGCTTTCATCCAACAATAGATAAATGAAACCACAATTATGGTTGAGTGACTGATGTAAGTACTAATGATTTTTTAAAAGGACTAGAAAGCTGAAAGTTGGTGCTAATGTAGCCATATATATAAGTGAATATCAAACTATCACTATACCAATTTTTGTTAATTATAAATTGGAATATTCAGACCTCAAATTTTTGGTCTGGAGGTTGATTGCATTCACTCAGAGAGCAAGGTTAGCCGATAGTTATTTTTAGCTTGGTATTGTATATGATTCTCATCATCAGTGAACACAATAATTTGCCTCCCATGAAGTGTGATGCTAAAGCTGATCTGAAAGGAAGCATGTAAATCCTACTACAAATTACAAGTATTTCATGATGACGGTGGTGATGATGGTGATTATTTTTGCCGTTGATTTTTGCATTATTAAAAACATTACAAGGCCTGCTGTTTTCTAAACAACCGTGACTGGACTTAAATCTTTCACATTAGCCTAATGCATAACTTGGCAGTGAAATTGCCTTCTCATTCATGTGTAGTGACATCGGGGATGTCATTGAATGGTGCCGGCCCGGGAGGGTCGTGGCGTGCGATGTTCCTACGTCGCGGACAGCACTGGGTGGGTTGCTGTGTGATGCCGGCTTTACTATACAGTAGCACCGTCATCACGTACACACCGTAGATGGGTGTAGTACCAGCCCTAGCGGGGCTTGGTGAGCGCTG